CTGCAGACGAAGTTTCAGGCGGGCAGAAATGAGCAAGCGGGCAGAAATAAGCAATTTCCGGTTGGGCAGAAATAAGCTTCGGTTGACTGTGACGTCACTTCCGTCCCTTCTATCGCGGCCCTTACTACTGTCAATAATCGCTTCTATGATAATTAAAAGAGATTTTAGCAATAAACTTTATTGAAAAATATAAGTTCTGGTATTAGACTGTTATATACTATAAAAGTTCAATACCAGTGCCGTTCTGGTATTGGACTATTCAAAGTTGGTTGAACAAGCGAAGGTTGTAACGTGTGATCACAAACGAGAAACCAAAAACCGGTTTCTTAACTTAGTTGCCTCCACTTGGTTGCCTAGTGTCATCAGCACTTTAGCGTTTCACAAAACTGAGAGACCGTTTCGCCGTAAGTACGTCACCATTCCAGTGCAGTTCGATTAAGAACCCAAGTGATTCGTTTGTCAAAAGGTGAACAGCGAACAAGGCGATGCAGTGTAGTTTTGCCATCTGGTGAGGAGTGGGATAGATGCGTTGCATGTTCGAGCGTCCGTAGTCACCAATGTGGAGGAGAGTGTGTGAGAGAAAAGTTTGTTGGCTGTCGCCTGGATTCAAACCAAGCACCTCTGGAGTTGCAGTCGAATACTTTAACCCTAGAAAAGAGTGCATACTCTGTCCAGGGTGAGATCGTAAGCTTTATATGTAGTGGCCGCTGCAACTAAAACAGATGCATCATGCTGATAACTTTTCGCTTACTTCCAACATAAAAATGACTTTCAATAAAATAATTTATAAATTTTTATAGTGATTTAGTAATTTATTTAATTGTGATTATATTTTTACATTGTTTAAAAGGCGAGTGAAAATTTCAATCTTTTTACACTGATAAAAAGTTCTTACCGCGATTAAAAAATTGTATAGTAATAATAATTTTGAAAAATTAAAAAAAACTGAAATAAAGTTGTTCAAAATATTAAATATCAAAAATATGTAATATTCATCTGCAAAATTAAATTTTCCATCATCAGAAAATTTAAAATATTAATAATAAAAATAATTATTTTGAAAAAAATTAAGAAACCGAAATATATGTTTAAGAAATGAAACATAACAATTCAAAAGATAAACTTACTGTACAAAATTTCAATGAATGCTATTTAAAGGATACTTACAGATTGTTGGCCTTGAATGCCTTCTATAAATCAACTCCTCTAATCAACTTAAAATGAAATGCCGACCCGAACTGTGTAGTGGTCAGGGAGCTGACTTCACATCAGAAAGATCATAAGTTCGAATCCCGGACAAGGCATGGATGTTCTTTCATTCTCTGTACTATCTGTTTTTACTGTGGCAGCAAGGTTGGCCAAAACTCCTAGAAAAGAGCAGACCTCAGTACGGGTTACCATTTTTAAGACAGTCGATCTTTTACTAGTCCAAACGTAATGACATATTTCGTATTTGCCACCACTGCGCAGCTTAGTACCCTGAAAGTTATGACATATTTCTTATTTTTCATCTACTGCGCAGTTTAACTTCGTTACATCGGACTACTAAATTGATCCGTACTGAAACCTTCCTTCTTCTAAGAGGTGTTGGGTTGGCCCACCTAATATGGTGCCCCTGAAAGAGCTGACAATGAGCCTGCCCAACAAATACCTGAATGACAAATGTCTGCCAGGTAGGCAGAGGCATAGGAATTTTTTTTTTACATGGAACTATAGTAAAGGCATTTTCTTTTCAGATGAGGCCAACCAGCATGCCCTCTTCATTCTGCAATCAAGTACCATGGCATTCTGACCGAAGTAGTCCAGATGACTTTGACCAACAACATTGGATAATACTATCGAACAGTGACTTCGTTGACTGTGATCGCAATTCTGAGTCTACGACCAATACCAACACTAATTTTGAGGGTAGCAATAGTCAAAGTTCTTATGTTAGTAGTGACACTGAATCTCCGATGTCACCTTCTCATCCAGATGCATCTGTTTCATCCAAGTCTTCCCGATCTTACAACTACTTCACTAAGCTAATAACAGAGGTAAGCAGCTCTTAGCCTGAATAAGGATTGATCAGATTTGAATGCATACAACGTAGAAACATGAGTGATGCATTTTGCTTACTGTATTTTGCTATATATACACCGAAGAGCCATTACATTATGACCACCATCCATCTATAACAATGGGCTCGCCCAGGTTTTCATGGTTTCTCGCCCAGTAACAATGCTTTCATGGGGCACATTAGGACCCCATAATACTCATAGAACAATCCCTGACGTCTGTAAGCTACTTGAACATAGTTGCAGACCAGGTTCACCCATTTATGGCAACAGTTTTTCCTGCGGGGGGATGGTGTTTACCAACAGGATAATGCACCATGTCATAAGGGTCGAATCGTCGAGGAACATTCCAGTGACTTTCAAGTCATGTCTTGGTCCCCAAATTCACCTGACCTTAATCCAATAGAGCATTTGTGGTCCTACTTGGAAAACCAAATTCGTGCTGCCACACTACCCCCTCTCAATGCGAGAGAATTGCGGGACCAGTTGGTGAGCGCTTGGTACCAGATACCTCAGACTACCTATCAGCACCTTGTGGAATCAATGCCACGGCGGGTGCTAGCAGTTTTGAGGGCTAAAGGCGGTCCTACGTGTTATTAACAGGGTGGTCATAATGTAATGGCTCTTCGGTGTATATATGTATAAAAAAATGTCCAAAAAAAATAAATAAATAAAAGAACCATCAACTTTTGATCTAATGATTGGATCTTTGCATTCTAGGGCTTAATCTTAATGGTTCGAGGAAGTGACTTCAAATATGATAATTAATTAGTGAAGACGATATTTTAAATTACAAAATCAGACACGAAAATGTACTTTCTTTGTAAAAACATACCCTTTTTTCTACGGATTAGGATTTCTGACCTCCAAAATATAGAAGGTAACTACAATCTGGAAAATTGGGTCCAAATGGTTTAGTTGGGAGAGGAGTCTAAAGTTTGGACACAATTATAAAATTCGTTTATTCGAAAGTAATTCCGCGCAAAAAATAACTTTTATGAAATTTTTTTATTATTTTATTTAATAATAGTCGAAAAATTTTTTAATTGTTAGGTATACAATTTTTTGCATCATTTTAAAGAATGTCATTTTACGTGGCAGAAAACAAAATTTGATCGAAATTCATAAAATAGTTCCTGAGAAATCGAATTTTAAAAAAGTCGTGTTTTTAAAATTCTACCGTTTGTTCAAAATTTTGTATTTTGATTTGTTAAATTAAATTTTTTGAAATGATGCAAAAAATTGCATACCTTACGATTTAAAATTTTTTCGACTATTATTAAATATTTACTAAAAGTTATTTTTTGCATGGAGTGATCTTTGGATAAACGAATTTTATAATTGCGTGCAAGTTTTTTCAATTCGCTTAAAAAGTTATCAAGATATGGCGAAATACACAAAAAGTAAAATTAACAAGGGGTTTAAACTTTGGATCGCTTTCCTGACTAATCTATTGGGACCATATTTTCCAGATTACGGCTACCCCCCATGTTCCCCGGCCGATGATGCCACCCGAATTTTCAAGGTCCTCTTAAAAATTGTCCACCAGAACTCTGAGTTAACAAAATTTATCATGTATATATCTTACGATAAAAATCACTCAAATGCATTTTGCATTAAGATGTATATTTGGTAAACAGTTTTGGAGAGTATTTTACAGCCTGGTTGATCAAAATGTGCTTTCTCCTTTTGTGTTTCCGTCATTTTCTCTTCCTTAATGTAGTGCACGTGTCGTGTGCACCAGTATTGCAACGTGCATTCTTAAGCATTAACCTCAGATCATCGTCAAAAAGTAAAATTAGTGTAGCTTTAATAAGACGTTTAATCAAATAAACAATATTTTTGATAAGAATTTTCAACAATATACTATATATCAATAAGTATTAGGACACCTATGCAAATGACTATATCTACGGTCCTGAGATGCGTCACGCCCTCCGCCGATATATATCGTGTAGAGAACATCGGCATTAGTCCCATGCAAGCCTACTGCACTATTTTGGATGACAATGTGCTTCCTACGTTGTGGCAGTTTTACGGGGTGGACCCCTGTTACTTCCAGGACGACAATGCCAGCTGTCATGTTGCGAGGGTCACCAAGGCTTGGTATGGTGCCAATGGGGCTAATCGAATGGACTGGCCTACCCAGAGCACAGACCTGAATCCTGTCGAGAACCTCTGGGACGAGTTGAATCCCCGAATTAAGGGGTGTACTACCCGTCCAAAATCGAGGAAGGAACATACATGTCTTCTCCAAGTCGAGGGGAAGAACTTGAGGAAAGTATGCCCCGGAGGGTTCAAGCTGTAACTACCTCTCGTGGAGGCTCTACCAACTATTGATTATGAATAAAGTTTGTTTTTCTTTCCAATCACACGTGTTCAAATTCTTATCGGTAGATAGTGTATATGCAAATTATTTTTAATTCATCTCACTTCACTTGAAAGAATGGAATGCTATAAGCAGAATGCCATAATTTATGATACAATAAAAATTGCTCTTTATAAATTAAAAAGCATGTTTTTAAGCATTTGAATTTAATTTTGCAATGTGTTATAATTACTTTATAACTAGATTACTTTGTCTGGCTTATGAATTTTTCTTACATTTTTCACAGTTAAAGGAAACACATGGTGGCCAAGTAAAGAATTCCGGTGACTCCAGAGAAAATTCCATCGAGGAATTCCACAATGCTTTTGCTGCAGTTGAACAAAGTAGTCCTGGAATCACAGACACTTTCGTAAAGGAAATTTTCCGACGTCTTGCACCCCACCAAAGTCGAGAACGGAAAATGCACAATATTATCGGCAGGCTGAAAGTGTAAGTAAGATAACAGAGAGGTATTTTAAAAATAAATTGCAGTGTGTCCCACTTAAATAAAGCCACCCCATTTAGATTTTGTGCTATAATTGGAGCGAAGAAAACGAATGTAAATGAAACTTGTATATTAAGAAAGTTGATATCCAAACAGACATTTATAAAATGTAATTCGCTCCCTACTTCATCTCGACAAGCAGGGAAGAGTGAGGTAGTAACACCGTGTAATGGGGTAAGACAGGGTGCCTTGATAATGCCGAAATCAGTCCTGTTTTCTAGCAAACAAGCACTGAATACCACTAGCCAACACTGAATACCACAACTAAACACTGAATCTAGTGGACCACTTAACTAGTCAAGCAGAAGAACCTATAGTTTGTCTAAAATAAGAGCTCCTCCAGACATTCGTCTGGACCTGTGACAGTGACAACGGTAACGAGGTATGACTATTTCAAGTAGGGGTGCGGGGTCACTGTTTTGGAGTGGTTTCGGCTCGGGTCGGTGGGAGAAAGGGGATATTTTTCTTCGGTCTATTGTGTGTCCTAGAGTGAAGATACCTCCCTAAAATGAGCCATTCTTGTTTCCATAGGCGATAACAAGGCTGGAATACGCCATCTAGGGAGAGACCGGTTTCGTGCATTTTCTAGTATTTGACTTTTTCTAGTAGAAAATCATTAATGAAAAAAATGGTACGTCTATGACTTTTCATAAATGATATTTTTACTGTAGGTAACTGAATTATGAATATCTTGATTAAATCTAATTCTGTCTAGGACGAACAGTTTAGCTCTAACAGGCCTTCGAATCTCAGTTATCTGGTAATATGCTTAGAGATTACTAAGTCATTCCTCTCTTTATTTGGAGGCATTTCATGCAGTTTTTGGATTAATGTCTAACTAGAGTACAAAAATCTCTGGAGCTCTGTGTTCGGTGAAAATACAATTTCACCTTCGTCTAGCCGCTTCAGGAGAATTTATCCCTATGTAATAAAAACAAATCAATAATCTTCATACAAATTACCGACTATCTACTGTGCTCCCATCTCCACTGGAGTTCTGTGTCTGATGACAATACAAGTTTCAAACGTTTCCTGAGTGCTACAAGTTAAATTCATAGGAGACAATGAAAAAATGAAAAAAATTGGATAAATATGACAACCAAAGCTGATGTCTTCAGGGGGTACCAGCTCCGGAAGTCATAAAAGCAAAACCTTTTCTTTCGATGGAGAAAGACAAAAGTCTAAAATTGCCCTCTCTGTACCCCCAAAGGTTTTGCCAAAGTTCAGGAAAAGAATAGAATGCATAATATACAATATAAAATACAGAAGAACACAATATAAAATTTCAATTGGAAGTATTATTTTTAATTACTTTAAAATTTAGAATTCTTTATTTCATATTAAATTCATAGGCATATTTTCTATCGATCCATATCCCGGCCAATTCAGACGAATTGGAAGGTTTTATTTTGAATTGACTCTCTGCGCGTGATGAAATAATGTAATTTCTGTCAAATGTAATTCGTAATAAACTTCTGTCACCGAAAATCCCGTCCCATGTCTTTAGAAAGTGATGCGTCCTCCATTTTTTAAATGCGTCAAAAATGAAATTATTTCCTCCTTTTTAATCTAATTCAAAAACACCTTTTTTAAAATTCTTATTCTATTTTATTATTTAGCTTTAGATTAAACTAATTTAACTAAAAACAATAAATGTGTGGTCAGTTTATAAACTTTTTATATTTTAAATACATTAGTATTTACTTTCTTACATTTCAGGAGTGAGACTTAATTCAAAGAAATCATGGAGCATAATGCTAAGATCACCACATATCAGCCTTGTCCTGATAAATACCTTTTTGCCGTGGATATCTTTGCTTCCTTTCTCTTACGAAATATTGTACTATTTTTAAAAACAAAAAAGTTTAGTGCATTATATAAATATAATATATATATATACAAACGTACATTGAGGGAACCAAACGTTAAATGTCCCTTAAAATCGTGATAATTATATTATGGGCTTAAATGTTAGCAGTATTATATTACTAGTAATATAAATATATAGATATATTATGTCAAAATGATAGTTTCTACTAGTAATTTAATTTTTATAAACTCGTACTGTTATAAATGTATTGGTCATTTTGAAAATCATATTCAGAAGAATTTTTGGGCATCGTGTTCCAAGTCACAGATCATAGTGCAAAATATTTATTAAAAGGTAGAATGAGATGAACAGTACCCTCAAATTTTGCGAAAAGACAGACTCTTAAACTTAAAACCATTTTTCTCAAAACGGAATTGCTTGATTTGAAATTTTATCAAAATGAGACAAATATAGACTGTTTTATTATGACTTTAACGCATAATTTTAGAATTCTAGTAAGAAAAATATAGCAAAAAAATACACATTAGAGGTCGTAAATTAATATTTAAGCGAAGAAAAAAATTATATCCAAATCTAGAGACTTTCTAATCATGAAGGCGAGAATGTAAAACCTCCAAAACCTTTTTAATGGGTGGAAAAAACAGAGAGAAGTTGAATTGCAATTCTAATTCCTCTAAATTTTATCCTGAAATAAAACTGGATTTGATGTTTTTTATTACACCTTCCTCATTAGTCATTCGGCAGATTTTGATAGCGTTTAAGTTTTTTTCCTGGTTTACATCTTAACTAGTGATCCCTAATATTTTAATTCTAAAAATATGTATCGAGCATGGCGATCACGGGACATCTTGTTTAATTATTGACGCCCAGTGGCTGAGTAGTAGCGCTTCTCACTCCGATGTTACAGGTTCGGGGCTCTATCCTTGACCCGGGCAGTGGGTTGATAAAATGTGTACTAAGCATGCCAACCGGAACAAGTGCTCTTGCACCAAGGTCAAGAAAACAGGAATAGGCATAGTTGGAGTTGGCCCTCCATGGGCTGTCGTGCCACTAAATTTAGCTTTTTTTCTTTAATAATTGATATTTTCAGATGGGTAATTTTTTGAGATTTTAAAACAAAGAGAAATAAATTAATTTTGATCGGAAATTACACTCGACGATTTTTTAAAAATGGTGCTATAAGAAAAATGCTAAATTTATTTCAAGTTCAGTAGACAAAGAATGATACTATCAGGGTTCTTACGGCTTCTGAAGTCTGATGTTAAATAGCTCTTAATGCGTTAATTGTTTTCATGGCTCTAAAAAAAGCTGACTTCGATATTTTTTTTAAAAAAAAATTATATTTTCTGTTGTAAAATAATGATAATGTTGAGGTTTAACTTCTTAAAACTTTTTCACGAAATTCTATTTATTTTTTTATTTTTTTCGTTTCATAATAAAATCACTAGAATTTTTTTTCTTTCATACTATATATTTACCGAATTCAGGACAAAAGAGCTACTAAATACAAGCATAAAGCTTTGAAAATTCAATAAAACACCGATCTTTGAAGTTCGAAAATAAATAAAAATAAAATAAACGAAGAATCTTTCCAAACTATCGCTTGAAATTTTAATAGCACCGTTTCATTACTTGGAATAATAGCATAATATAAAAATTAGGCATTGCTTCAAAATATTCGTCGCTTAAGAAAATACTTCCTTTCTAATTATTAATATGTTTATTAAGGATAATATTTTGCTCATTTTGTTTCCCCCCCCCCCCGCCAAAAAAAAAAAGTCAAAATGTCTTTTAATGTAATTTGCATTTTGAACTGTGACTTGATGTTTGCTTTAAGCAAAGTTCTTCTGAATTTGTATCTTTAAACACCATGGATATCTTTGAAATATGATAATTTAGTCTTAAAGAAGGCAGTTAAGAAGACTGATTTTTGCTTATATTTTTCAAATTGTTTCTCATATTTCATTAAAATTACGTATTCATTTAATTTATGCGACACATCTTTTAGCTCTACTATTTTACATAATTAACAATTATTTCAAATGTAATTTTAAAAATAAATCAAGAAATCATTCAAGATAGGAGAGCAGCAAGATTTCCTTCAAGCAGTTTCAGTTTACGTCATTTTAAATAGATTGAGTGTTCTGTAATTACAGCCTTTAATACATGTTTTTGGAATCATTATCAAAGATGAAGAAAGAAAAGTATATAGATTGGTGGACTCAAATTAATATAAAAGCGAACTCGACAAATAGATACCGAGGAAGTTGAGAACAAAATATCAAAAATCGTTTGATTACCGGTTGAAAATTTGAAGTGTGTTTGAAATCGTCTGTCATCTTCTCTTTGTTTATTTGAGAACAACATTGTGTATACTTTTTTTTAAAATTCATTCTTGACAGATATTTTAACCCATTATTTCTTTTTAACGTGATGCAGTATAATATTTCTTTTTGTTTTTGATGTATCGATTTGTTATCTGCCTCCAAAGAGAGAAAAACAAATAGCATTAATACAGGTAATGTGTTAAAAATATTTTTAAGACATTTAGCAGAACATCCTGAGCCCAGTACTACATGTTTGTTTCATCCGTGGTTTGATCTTTTACCAGATAAAGTAGGTTTGTAGTTTTTCGAGTTCAAATGCGCTTCTTTTTCGTGCACAGTTTTTGTGAAAATACGCTTTATTCTTTTCCTTTTAACAATAATAGTTACTACATAGTTGACTACAATGTCTGTTTCAAAACATTATATTATACTTCTTGCATTAATCTATCAATTATTCCTGGAAGACATTTAACTAACTCGATGTTGACCAGAAAAACAGTTACTGATGGTAGATGAAGATACTAAAATTGAAAGCTCTCGATTAACCTCTGTAAGTTGACTTTTTTAAGGAGCAACAGTTTGATGGTCCACTTAGACAAGTGGTCAGCTTATGAAAAAGGAGAATTTAAATGTTTTTGCCAGTTTGGTACTTAAACATTATGGTGCTCAACTTAATAGGTTACACTGTAGATCTTTTCTAACTTTATTTTGTGTAAAGAATCACCTTTTATTTTATGAATTCTGTAATTTTTAGTTTGTAATTTGTTTAAAATTAGAATCTCAAATAAACCTTTATGAATAGAGAGAGAGAGAGAGACAAGGAGGGAATATTGGACACAAAAAGCAAAACAAGCGAATGCTGTACCCTAAATTATAAGCTTGTAAATATTTATTTACCTGTTCATTTATTGACTGAATCATCTATTCACTGATAAAATTGAGGATAAATTTGATTACTTTAGGGTAAACAAACCTATTCCGTAAAGTTAAACTGAAATTAAAAGTACAGTGAAATTCTGTAAGTTGACTTTTTGTGGAGTAACAGTTTGATGGTTCACTTAGTCAAGTGGTCAATTGATAAATGGAGAATTTAAATGTTTATACTAGTTTGGTACTTAAACATCAGGGAGCGAAATTTAACAGGTTTTACTACAGATCTTTTTATAACGTTATTTTGTGTAAAGAATCACCTTTTATTCTCTAAATTCTATTTATTTAAAATATAAATCTCAAATTAATCATTATGAGTAAAGAGGGTGACAAGTATGGAACATTAAATACAAAAGGGAAAAGAGAGAGGAAATGCAGGCCATACCACAAAATTATAAATTTGCAAATTTTTAATTATTAACTGAATCACCTATTTATTGATAAAATTGAGTGTAAATTTAATTATTTGAGTGTAAACCAACCTATTCCATATTTGTCCCCCTTCACCTGTTTAAAACATTAAATGATGTCTTCATTGAAAGAAAATGGTGCATAAATATTATTGACATTCTCGTACTTCATCGTGCAAACATTGTAAAATATTATTCATGGTTGTAAAAATTTGATTCAGATATATGTTATTGATTGTATGTTCATTCTGCAAATGTATTAGTAATTTGTTTCATTGTGCAGTAGTGAGTATTATTTTAAATTTGAATATTTTATTTTCCTGGAATGGTATGATACGAGTATATGGATAAACATGTTTCTACTACATTTTATTTTAGAGTGTGATAGCTTAGGCTTAATGTTAATAAATTAGATGGGGCGCCAATGGAGGAAGAAATTTGCCTGTTGGAAGAATAAGCTTAAAAACAATGGGGGATGCCTTTTTAGTTTTCAGTTTGATTTCCGATGCGAGAAAAACTTTATTTCATACAACAAAAAAGTGTGTTTTGGTGTTTTTATTTTAATATAAAACTAATAAATTAAATTATCTAGTTTAAACAATGTCTATCCAATGATTATTTTTATAACTTCTCTCAGGGCTCAATCTATTGCTCGTCATCGTAGTTTTTTGGGACACTCTAAAGAGAGTGTCTGGAGCACAATCCCTTAAGATAGTGCCAAAACCAAGTTTGAGCGGTTACAGAAGATCTTTTAGAACATGTGTGCCAGTCAGTTAAGTAAATAAGCATCACTGGTGCGGTCAGTGTGTGGGTGGGTGACCACTTGGATCAGTCTGTGTAGGGACCGAGGGTGTGCGGTATTTGTCCTCAATAAACTGTTCTACCGTAAAGTGCTGGACTTAGCATGTAGGTCGTCGGGCTACCGACCCTCTGCAGAGGATCAAAATTTTGATGGCATGTCTTCGGATCATCCTCAGGGATGTTTGCCAGACCGTCGCCAATAGCCCATTGTGCAGCTCTATTGCGACGCAAATGAACTACAACAGCAATTGAGTAAATGAAAAAAAAATTTTTTATCAATTTAAAAATTGATTTTCTTTTTGTTTGAAGTTCTAGAAAAAAAGCATGGCATTATATTGTGGGATTAGACAGAGTAATTCTGCAACAGAAAAAATGGGATCCTTTAATTTTTCCAGATCTTTTAACTGACAGGGCGAAGAAAGAATACTGTTGGGGAACATAAGAGGTTGCAAGAAGTTCAGCACATCAATTACATATTCTTAGGTATTGTGCTTAAACGACCCAATATGTAGTTAGGCATTTTCCATTTCACGCTGAGTGATAAAAGTATGATTGCAACTGGATACAACTTATTTAACAAGTGCAGTTCTCACTTAATATTTCAATGAAGTGTGCCAGTTTAGTTTTTGTCGAGGAATTCAGGCGCCCCTTCTGCGTCACATAACTTCCTTTAATTTCATACTACTATGGAACACTTGTCTGAAAAGTGTTTGCATTTAATAGTGCACAGAAATAAATATGTTTTCTAAGAGTTATTGCCTTTAAGAGATGTATGTCAAAATATGCTAGTCAGCCAGGTAATTTTACTTAATCTTCTCTGTTTATTATAGCAATATATATAGATATAAATATTTATGTGGATGTATACTTTTCCTCTATTTGAGGAAATTACTTGTACAGAGTATATATGTTACTTCTTTATTTTTATTGTATACTTCTATGAGCTTATAACTTCATCTATTTTATGGAGGAAAATTATTTTTGTTATTTTATATGATAGAATTCTAAAAATTTTGACCAAAAGTTTTTATGCATTCTTTTACAATTTTATTACATCCCTTTACATTCTCCCTTCATATATTGGTCAGAAGTGTAAAAAAACTTAAAATATATAACTTAGTTGTAATTTAAATAACTGTTAAATTTATAAGTTAGAAAAATAGTATCATTTAGAATCTAGATGCAGTGTTTACAGTATGTGTATTGGACCATAAGTTTTCCCCTCATTTTACTTGCAGGCTGTCAAGTACTTAGTGTCACCATGCAAACATCCTATTACAATTTTAAAAATAAATAGTTATTTAAAATTGATCTCCCAGAATTTCCATACACAACTAAATATTGAAACCATTTATAATGTTCCAAAATATATTGCATACTTCGTATTGCTGGTATTTAGTTAGGGATTTTTTTTTTTTTTTTNTTTTTTTTTTTTTTTTTTTTTTTTTTTTTGCAAAACTTATTTTTGTTTCTACAAAAATAAGTTTTGAGTTGAACGATGACAAACTTGCCATCAGAGAAATAATGATATAGTTTACTCAGAGAACATACAGTGTCAAGTGAGAGGAACTACTGACAATTGATTTTGGGGAAGGAAAAAAAAAAAAAGATTAATTTTCAAATTTTTCTGTCACAAAATATTTTTCCTTTTTTTATTATACACGCTTAGAACAAAGATTTTTTCTCTGGTAGCAAATTATTCAATGTTGTAACAAAACATTTTTTCAGGTTTATTATCTTTTACTTACAGTTCTCAAAATTGTGCGGTAATAATTTTATTTGAAGTTTGATTTTTTCGGTTATCAAAGAAACATCAAACCATATAAGTAATACAATAATTATTTTGATATCACGTAAAATATTTTGATGATTCTTTTCTCGATCAAAATGTTTAATATATACGCTAGCAACAACTCGCCTATTTTTGCTGAAATAAAAATCAAGAATAATTCATTTTCTTGTTGCTCTAATTTTCAAAATCTAGACGTTTTATTTACTTCTACAAATCCTATGAATTATTGAAGTTTCATTGTAATTATATATTAAAAAGTTATTTTTTATAAAATAATAACAAAATATTTTAGAACACAAAAACTTCCCAATAATGCAATCAATTCCTATCGATAAAATCTGTTGAGTTCATTTGGAAAGGTTGATCTTTCATATTACTTTTTGTTTTTAACTGAATTATTTTTCGAATGGAAAATATTTGTCTTAAAAAAAAACACACACTTTACTAGATTTTCATTTTTTCATGACTTAACTATTACTTTATCAAAATGATTTTTTATAAATAACTAAAATTAACAGCTAGAAGAATGCATTACATATTAAGGAATGTTCTGAGGTGTTCATGATAAATAAAATCAATTTGCCAAGCAACAGACATAAGTTACATAAAATTAATTTTCCATCATAGCTACTAAGCAACTGACTCGCTTAAGTAATGTTGGGAACTTGTAAAACACATGTGTCTTACGTACGCTAAGTAATTTGTAAAAGAACAGAGTATAATACGACACTGAAACACGTCACTATGTATGAGGGGGAAAATGGCAATACATGGATTATTTATTCACTATAATCTTTTGAACATTTTGTAGTTAGGAGCAAAACCTAGTAGAAAAGGTTGAAGTGTTACCAATGCACTAGATTGTAAGCGGGTTACATGTCAGAATTGTTTTTGAACATTATTTTTTGTGTGATATTTTTTGGATAATAAAAGTGTGCTATTATATGATTCAATTGATTTTATTAGTCATATGTAATTGTTGAAAAGTTATTACCTTTGATGTTAAGAAATTTATGTAAGTTTTTGTGTTAGTCAACAGCTAGCTTTACAATTGGCATTGAAATTTTGTTACATTTATTTGTGATATTGATTCTCATAAATTTATTAAACGTGTGTTTGATTTCATTAGTTGTGACTTTTTTTATAGCCAGTAAAAATTGTTATAAATGAGGCTGGTTTTATATTTACAAGATAATTTTAGTTTAATCCTTAAACACAGAAGAAAAAAAAAATTAGCAGAAAATTTCTTTTCTATAAATAGAATAAATGCAGCTTATCAAAAATCTACTTATTTGAGCAATCAAAAGTGACCCTAAGTTAATTTAAACCAAAACATTTGATCTTGGAAATATATACACACATATCTATATATAGATATAAATTCTATTTTAATGATTAAATTATTTATGTGGGCTTAAAATTAAATTCAAATATTTGTTACAAAATTAAAAAGCATGAAAGTAAGTTATTTTTTAAAGTAAAAGCACAAATGTCTTTCCAATCAATAAAAATTTGAATAAACGTGGGAAAAAGAATACAAAATATTTTCTTCATATTTTATTTAAAAATTCTTAAACAAAAGAGCAAACATTTTAAAAGTATTAACAACTGCACTCATAACTCACATATTAGTTCAAAGATATAATCATAAGTAATATTTATATTTACTTTTCAATACTTCAAAATAAGTATAAAAATTTTTGGTCTCGGTGAAATCATTGTCAGCACAAAATTTATCTCCAAATCATTTGAATTTATACAAATACATATTATTAACAAGTTCATGGTAAAATCCTCAAATTCAGCAATCCACAAGGTAAAACCTACATACTTATTTGTAACTTAATTTGGCATGTTCACAAAAGAATTAACTTACTTTCAATTAGTCAGACATCAAAGTCTAAAATGAATTCAATATATAATATTGTCGGTTTGTAAGCAGATTAATTCTTACCAAGAATTAAGTTATTTTATTTGGATAGCCACAAAATCATTTTAAATACTAATAGATGGTACTTAAAAATTTCAATTAGCACCTTTTTTATTTTTTAAAACTGAGTAATAAATTTGGATAAAGACTAAAAGGTTTCAACGAAATTTCCTATTCACAAAGTTACAACAAGTTTTCTTATTGTATTGAATAGATTGTTTAAAATTTAAGAAGAAAAAAAATGAACAAAACAATCATTCTTAGTCTAAAATAAAATATGAATAAACCATGCATCTAAAAATTTTTTTTGAAATAATTAATTTGATCTTATGATTTAATGATATTCCTGTTTGGAAAATGCATATGTTTCACTCTTCACTTTAGGTAATATGATTAGATGCAATAAATAAATACAGTCAAATTTGTTGTAACAAGAACATGAGGACTAAGTTGATTCGCTCATTTAACATAAATTGGCTGAAATTATTGGATATAAAAGTTATAATATACAGCAAAATGTTCAATAATGGCTATCTTTTGTTATCCTTATTTTATTTACTTATTGTTGTGACACACAATTTCATATTTAACTATTATAAGGCTATATTCCTTTAGTACAACTGCTAATGCAACACATAACCAGACACATGAGGGACCTAATATTGCTATTTTTAATTGCTTATCTACATACAATTTTGAAACAATCTGAATTTAAGGAAGTTTAAAACTCTTTTCCATTCAAAAGGAACAGTCTAAATATTTAGTCTAAATACTTTTTTTTTTCTGACAGCATCAATAATATAATTTTAAACGAGTTATATAAAAAATTCATTGTTGAATCCAAGATCTGCTCCTAATAGATTTTTTAACTTAAAAACCAAATAGCACTCAAATCATTTCATCCAGGATTCAATTGAATCAGGACTTGGAAGTAAGCGATTTAAAATGACAAATAATTTTTTTTTTTAAAATTAATATCCCTTGTTATAAGAGGCACATTTTATAAAAGCAATTTAATGCTGACTTATATATATTTTTTTTTGCAACATCTTCTGACCTGGTCACAAAAATCTTCTTACAAACCGAGTAGATAATTGAAAAGCATCAATGAGATGTGGTTGAACACAAGAAAAAACAATCGTAACTATACAAAGTCATTAACGTGATTATAGATAGGAACTACAAACGACAAATATCTATAAACAAAAAAAGTGAATATACAATATGCAAATTACAAATTAACAATAAGTCAATGCACTTATAAAATGTGTAACTATTTAAAAACAAGTATATATATATACATCATTTTACAAACTTCCCCACTACCTTCAAAAATAAAAGTTCAAATTTTTTCCCCATACTTCTATATAGGTTTTACTTCGAATTTAATTCGGAGTCACCAGAGAAAATGAAACCAGGGACATATTAACCACTCAAAAATTAATGTATTACAGACAATCACAGTAACAGAATTTTATGCAGCACTGTTATCTTAATGTAATAATTGTCTGTGACTCTAGCAAGGCCAAACAAAGCTGACTATACACAGAAAATAGCTTTGACTAGCCATCGTTGGGATTGAATAAAAGAAAGAATTCTATTTATGAATACAGTAAAACTGATTAATCGACCCCTTCAGGGCAAAGAGCACATTTTGTCAAGAGACCTTTTCGAATTTATAAACATTAACCTAAGAGTAAAATTACTCAAATAAAATAGACACTATAATGAAGTTTTTTTCCTGTCTTTCTTTCTTTTTTTTAAAAAAATTATTTTACTTTTTTTATTATAAACAATATAGAAGAAAAACTTGTACTTTTCTGTTTTCTGTATCACCGTAGATTTTTAGCAGCCAGTTTTCGGATTCATCATCACAATGTGATTCAAATAACCCAAAAAGATTTTTTAAAAAAAGTATAGAAATGCAATTAGATAATAAATATCTTAGGAAGTGCATCAGATAAGCAGGGTTCTACTGCATCAAATAAGTTGGTTCATTTGTATTAAATGGCTTAAAATAGGCATAATACCTGGCGGATAGAAACAATGCAGACTGAAAATAATCATTACATTAAAAAATTCGAAGATAAAATTAAACTCAAAAATGTTTATCATACTCTCATACCTGAAATATTTTATAAATTTGTACATTTTTTATAGAATAGAAGAAAAAAAATTGAGCCTGTTGTAATAAATAACTAATAATTGTCATGATTCGGTTTAACCACAAATTTCAATGAATAAAAATGAAAAAGGTTAGAACAGTAAGGGAAAGTTATTCAACTTTTTTTTTTAGCAATTCAATAAATAAGATCTTAAAATTTAGTCACTTAAATTTTTAATTTTAATATAAAATAAATAACTTTTTAAAGAAGGAAAACAATTTGCAATAAAAGCATTACAAAACTATACTTAAACAAACATAAATAACCAAAAACATTAAATAATTGGAATTAACTATGACATTTTGTAGATTGCAGAGAAAACATCATTATAAAATTTTAAATTAATTGTGAATATTTTTCCAACTCCAATTTCTATCATTCTATGATAAGAAAACCTAATAAAATTTTATTCAAAGAAATGCTTAGAAACAGTTATTATTAATTAAAATTATGAACTTTTTTTAAATTAAAATTTCATTTTCAAATCGGCAATGGGTAAGAATTTCAATAGGAGTTTGCATAACATTAATTCTTATAACTAGCTATGAAATAAATCAACAAAATAAAATATTAACAAATGTAAAACTTTGGACAAACATTTTTTAAAATCATATTTTGAAAATGAGCAAAGTAAAATCATAAACAACAAGAAATATTTTATGAACATAATCATAAGACTTTTAACTGCTTTTGCAGTTTTATGATACATAAAACAATCACTAAATAAGCACAAGCATAATATGTAACTGTCACAACAGGCCACACTTTTGCGTGTCACAGAGAAATTATATATTGGGGCAGATAAAAATATGCAAAAATATCTACCACTAAGTCTATTATTTGTAAAATATAACAATTTAACAAACATTTAAATGTTTATAAAACAAAGTCTGAAACTTTGAAATCACAAGCACAGTGTACAGTATATCATAATTCAATTCAAATCTGTGCCTTATAAGCATTAATAATGAATTTGTTAAATATACAATTACTTTAAACTATACATGGAAGTCGTATGCATAAAAGTTTTTGTTTCCAAAATGACATTAGGTAAAAAATACAGCTATCAAAATAATTTATTTTGATCGCTGCTAAATCAGTTCATACGCTTGCATATCAGTATGAAAATGTCCAGTATAGAATAAAGATACATAAAATTATAATCTCAATGCACTATTTTATTCATTTAAATTAAATCAGCAACATTCATTGGCATTTCTTCAATTTGCGTATTATAAAACTGCTCAATATCTCGCAAGGTTCTTTTATCATCTTCAGTTACAAAATTAATTGCAACACCTTTACGCCCAAACCGGCCACCCCTGCCAATCCTGAAGAGGAAAATCAATAATATTAGTCAAACCTTTAAAAATAAGATGATTGTAACTATTGAAATAATTATTTTTCTGTTATATATATATCTTTCCTCAAATTCATGATAAAATTACTAAATTAAAATGTTCATAGAACATGCACAACTATAATTGAAAAGACTTGAAAAATATTAATGTTAATTTATAACACTTAAAAATAAGTTTAACAGACATACATGCCTTCAATGCCTTAACTTGTTGATAATTTCCTACCCCCCTTTTTTTAATAGGAAATTTGTCAAAAGTGACATTTTTAATATCATTGATATGAAACTTAGTAATGCATAAGTAATTCTATTATAAATGCTAAAATATAAAAAGTTTTCCAAGGACATTCTGTCGTGAGTAATATAATTACATGAAAAGGGATATTAAAATTTGAGTATATATAAATTTGTTGGTAATAAAATTTCTTTATTATATATTATACAGAAGTTCCTTTATTATACTGAAAATTAACTGTATTAATATAAACACTATATCTTAGAGTTGCTAAATAAAATTTTCAAAAAGTTAAATCATGTGATGTCACTTATGTGCTAATTGTTTTTTTTCTGTTAATAAGTTTAACACACTAATAAGTTTAACATCACATTAATACAGTCGAAGCTCTATAGGACAATTCCTGTGGTCCAAAGAAAAACAGACTGGAACATGAGGTTGCTATAATGTGACTACATAAAATTTGTGTAAATATTTACTTACATGTTATAAATACAGGACTTATTTTGGCAAAAACATGTAATATCTTAAATAGAATTACGAAACGATAAAGATGTATTATTCAATATAGTACATTTAAGGTTAAAAGTACATTTAATTTTTTCCCCGTAACCTTCTAGGTAAATAATAGGAGGTTCTGTCTTTCTTTTTTCATTCATAGAAAAATAACAAGATGTTACTTGCTTTTTAAGCAGTTACATCAAAAGAAACAGTGTCTTGAATAGTTTTCTCCAAACTTCTCTTTTTCAATGGAAAATGTTGGATTAAAAGAGCGAATATGCATAATACCTGTTTTCAGAATAATTCTTAGGGAAATAAAAATAAAACAAAGTTTTGTTTGTTACATTGGAATAAACAGTTCAGTTTGGAGGTTCTAGTTGGGTGATAATATAACATTGTATTTATGGAACAGCAAACGGAACTTCATGCAGCAGTAGTTATAAAGGAAGAATTGAACTAGGGGGGGGGGGTAATACTAAAGAGCATAGACTGTAATAAATATATTTCTTACAGAGATACAATACATTTTCTGTTATTTAATTATGATCTATATCAATTTATTTATTTAACTAACACTTACCTGTGAATATAGTTTTCTCTATTCGTAGGCAAGTCATAATTTATAACTAGTGAAACTTGTTGCACATCTATTCCTCTAGCTAACAAATCTGTAGTAATAAGAACACGGCTAGATCCAGAGCGAAACTCCCGCATAATGACGTCTCTTTCTTTTTGGTCCATGTCACCATGCTATAAAAAAATTATCTTTTGTCAATATGGATAGAATATTTAAAGATATTTATTTTTATAAAAAGTATTGAATTAAATTATTACAAGAATAACAAAGTAGATATTTTCAATAAGAATATATAATTTTGATACAGAAATGAGGATTTAGAGAGTGTATATGTGGATCCAAATTTTATTCTAAAGTCTGAAGTTGTTAACACACTCAATGTCTCACTACATGAATTGGAAGAATCTTCTATAGATAAAAAGAGAAAGCAAACTTTATGCAAAAAGTAAGATGAAAAAGATAAACTCTGCTATAAGGTGTGAACTTTTTACAAATGCTGAGAGCTCCGCAGATATTGATACTAAAACACCCAAAGAAGCAGTTTTAAAAAATCTTAAAATTCAGTCCTCTTGTTCCACCTCTAATGTTAAAAAAGTAATGATACTAACCTGCTTGCCCGAGTCTTGGAAAATACGGAAAATTATGCAAGAGTTTAATGAACTTAACTACGTGATAAAAGAAGCTCTTGCAACATAAAGGCATTTTATCAAGTCCTAATCCAAAGCCCGTAAAAAAATCTTTCTACTGAAATTTTTTTAGGAAGTTAAATTTAATATCAAAATAAAATTTTTTTTAGAAAGTAATATTTGAATATAGTTAATATTTGCAATCATATGAGATACAGAAAAAAAATCTTACTAAAATACTAATTAATATTTATTAAACTGTTTCAGGTTCAAGGCATTATTTCTTATTTACTCATTATGATTTCAATAACTATCTTAAAAAAAAATTTAAAACTGATGCAAAAATATTGAAGTTTCTGAACCCTAAAATCTGATTTTGGTCAGAACCTTTTACTTAAGCCATCTCGAAAGATGACTATCTTAAAACAAATTCAGATACAGTACCAAAATAAATATACCAACTCTTAGAAATTTTGAATATAATATTGTGTCAGTTATTTTATGATAAAACTTACCAAAGCAGACACTGTAAAATCACGACTATGCATTTTCTCCATAAGCCAATCTACTTTTCGTCTAGTGTTGCAAAATATCACAGCTTGTGTGATAGTCAAAGTTTCATATAAATCACAAAGTGTGTCAAGTTTCCAGTCCTGAAAAAAAAAGAAGCATAAAATATACTTTAAAAAATGAAAAGTTAAGATAAAATAGAATTTCTTAACATCTCAAAAATATAATGTCTATTTATTTTTCGATTCTGCACAATATCTGACTTAGAAATATGTAAAGCTTAGGTATAAAATTGCAAAGAAAAACATTTAAATAAAGTACTTCAAAAACATTCTAATAAATAAATTATACTACTGAAAAATATTCACATACAGTTAAAAGTGCTTTACCTCTCTTTCTACTGATATGTAAAATTGCTTTATGCCTTCCAAAGTTAATTCTTCTTTCTTAACTAAAATACGAACTGGTTCACGCATAAATTTTTTAGTAACTTCCAAAACATCAACTGGCATTGTAGCAGAAAGCAAAATAACCTGCAAAAAACACATAAGTAAATTTTTGGAAACTAGAATTATTATTAACAATATGATAGAATTATATGACAAAAGATAAAGCAAAACAATTTTTAACCCCATAAACAACCTAAAACTCAGACCGTATTCCTTTGAAATAAAATTTTTTTTTACAAGGTATCATAAAGACACTGCTTCACGCATTTGCCTAGTTAAATCTTGGTACAGTTTAAAATTTTTAAGATTTAAACTTACCAAAACTCAACTAATCAGTGAATGAACTGCTAGATATATTTAAGAAATTAAGACCATGCAGGATCACATAAAAATATTAACTCTGATGCAGAATTAAATAAAATATTCCACAACAAGACTTGTTGATTACAATATTCCGATTTTGTTTTAATAATTTAGGAATAACTTTATTGCCAGAAAAAGAAACTCAGTTAAATGTCAAATTATGTATGCTTACATCATGAAACAAAAATCAATAACAGCATTTTAAATTGTCATAGAGTCTCAGGAGCAAACTATTCCGCAATGATGTGAGCACAATTAGTTTTCTAATCATGTGTTGTTTTGGAAAATTCCTTACAGTTTTGATCATTTTCTGCTTTAGGGGACATTAACTCTTGTTCTAATGAAATTTTAAATTATTATTGGTTATAACTAGTTTTATTAATTAAGATAGAAAATGATATCAATTACATTTGACTTATAACTCAATAAAAACAGAAAAAAAATTATAAATAAAATCCGAAATTATATAGAAGCCACATTAATATCAGTAATAGCATAGCAAGAAATTTTTAATTTTTAATAACTTTAGAATATTTGTCAATATGGAAAAAAATATCAAAAATATAAAAACCTGGATACTAGAGTTGAGGGTAGTAAACACATCATAAATTTGATCCTTAAATCCTCTAGAAAGCATTTCATCTGCCTCATCTAACACAAATATTTTGATATGATCTGTTCCTGTTAAAAGAAAGGAGAAAAATTTTTTTTTTAAAGGCATATCTCTCATTTGTTACAAAAGAATTAGTAAATGCTTTTTCTCTTGAATGTATGAAAATGAGGTTATCTATATATAGTGTAACTTTGTAATAAATATGTAATACTCACTCTACCTCTTATGTAAATACTCATTTTTAACTTTCAATAAAGAATAAGATCTTTAAAACAGTTCATATTACAGAGTACCTGAGTTCTTTTAGTTGTGTATTAATACAGAATAAGATCTTTAAAACAGTTCATATTACAGAGTACCTAAGTTCCTTGAGTTGTGTATTAATACAATGTTATTTTATCATCCATTAAAATACTTGATTTCAACTATTTCATCACAAGGGGAACAAAAGAAATAGATAGTTATTAAAATAATTATTCAGTTTAATTTTTGAACTTTCACATTCACAAAGATTAAAAAGATACATTCAAAATTCTCATGAATGTATCAAAGAAAGCAATAAATTTATCAACCATACTTGATATGTTTACCGGTGAAACATTAGTCATACTTGGGACACTAATATTTAAGTTAAAACTATTCATAACCATTTTGAATTAATTTTTGTCAAGGCATTGCAGTTAACTAAAGAATTATAGACATTATGTATTTTTCAGAAATACCTAAAAAGTTTTCTTTTTTCTTTAGTTGCAACACACAATTATTTATTTATTTATTTTTTTTAAATCTTATCACTATTACTAATTTAAATAGTTTCTTGCAAATAATCAATTTTCGAATTTAACAGAATGCTTTTGAAAATTATGCGTAAAATTAGAACCAATTTTTTATTCATACAAAGTAAATTAAAAAAAAAAACAATTATTAAAAAAGTACTGTACACAACGCTCATCAATTTTGGAAAGATCTTCATATGTACGCAGTATAGTATTAACGAGAAAACATTTCATTATTATACACGCATAATCTTATAAGCTATGAGAGGCAAAATTTCATTTTTAAATTGCTGGTTCGAATAACTTTCAAAACATTTAAATCTGTGGTGTAACAACTCATGGAGGGCGAAGGCTTACTTAGCCCATCCTAGCTTTTTTTTTAAACTTTTGGCTTAGGAGAATGTTCTGGCTAAGTAGTCAGCTGAGTGCATAATCCCACTGCATGATTGATAAGGGAGACATGCTATCTTTCTAAGCATGCTTGATACTCAATTTACGGACCCAATGAAAGGATGAGTCACCCTTGCCCTGTCCGAGGATAGAATCCTAAACCTGTAACACAGGACGCACTGCCATTCAGCCACCGGGCGTCAACCAGAACATTTACGAAGATTAATTTCTAGCATTATGCTTATGTAAATTTGTCTTCTTCATATCATTTATTATACATGTGCAAAGATAAAAAATTTCAACATTTTATTTAGTTTTAAATTACCTAGACTATAATAATACCTTCAGCAATCAAGATGGTGATAAAAATAAAAATAGGTAATTTTTAAAAACAACTGAATTAAGCTGAATCATACTAAATATTTCTATAACTTACTTAATGCTTTTCTACTGATCATATCGAACACTCGACCAGGTGTTCCTACAACTACGTGAACACCCATTTCTAATTTACGAATATCTTCTCTAACATTAGTTCCTCCAATACAAGCATGGCACTGTGCATTCATATAATCACCAAGAGCAATGACGACTTTTTGTATCTGTGGAAAGAGAATAAAAATTAAAGTACAAAATACTTTTTACTCAAACAAAAATCTAAGACAAAGATTAAAAAGAATAAGGGAAAAAAAAAGAATAATTACCTGCTGAGCTAACTCTCTAGTTGGAGCTAGTATGAGAGCTTGACATTCTCTAAGACTAGTATCAATTTTTTGCAGAATGGCAATAGAAAATGTTGCTGTTTTTCCTGTTCCAGATTGTGCTTGAGCTATTACATCAAGACCTAAGAAGAAGAAAATTAATTTAAAATCTTAACTTCTGTTTCATTCTTTTATACTAAAATTTAAAGAGCGAAAGATCTTTATAAAATTCATCAGAAATTTTTATAATCATAGAAAAATAGTTATTATAAATTATGAATATGTTAGTTTGGTCCCACAGAGATAGATCGATTAATTTATATAAATGTATTCTAAAAAGGCAATCATATGTAAAAATGTCACTTTGATCTAATTTTTCTTAAGAAGTGAAGATTATTAAGATGCAGGAGTCTTTTAAAATTTTACTTTAAATTACTAACTCTCCATAAAATTGTTACTTTCAAATTATTATTATTGTTTTTTTTTAATTTACAGGAAAACTAGTATTAGTTTTACTTATTTGGCAAATTTTTGACACATGATGGTTTTCGCTGATACATTTTTTGTCATAACATCTAGTCAAAAACCCATATCTTTGGGGACATTAGATTTATATTTTATTTCAACTAAGTAAAATTTAAATAAAAAGTATCTTTTAGGTCTTAAAATATGAAATTTTTTTTTTAAAAAAATTTAACAAAAAATTACTTATTATTATTAATAAAAATATGATGAGGCATTTTTATGGCTAGGTAACCAAAAATGCACATAACTAGTCACTATGCATGCGTCAGCAGACACTGATTACTAAATACGTCATTTTGAATACAATTGCGAACCCTCTTCAGTGTGCTTTCGATTAAATATTAGTTATAAAAATAAAATTACTTAAAATAGCACACGCTCTTCCATTAGTTTTCTTTAATTACAAATTTTGAATACAAATATCAAGATTATATATATGTATGCAGGTGCATTGTAAAAATATCGATGCTGAATACATGTCAATAACAAAAAATCTGTAAATCCCACAATATTTTTAAAATTTTACAAAGTACAAAATTTAGAATTTTAATTTCATCACAAGTCAAGACTTAAAATATATGTGCAACAATTTTTACTAATATAAATTTGATAGTTATATTACATTTATGTATAGAATTGATATTTGTGAAGAATATTTTGATAATTTATTTTTATCGCACCATAACAAAGGGGGAAAAAAAGGTTTTTGACAGTTTTTACTGGTAAAAACACAGCTTTTTCCTTTGTCGCGTCAAAAACCGAAAATTTGGTTAATAAACATTTAAAACTTTGTTAAGCATGAAAACATAACAAATTTTAGATAAACATATTATTTGTGCTCCTTGTAATTTGCATGAAAGAGAAAAGGGCTATTACAATTAAAGGGCAGAAAAGCATGTTTATAATCATAATTGTTACTTCATTTTAGAAAGATAATAAACTCCCACTCTCAGATAAATTTCTTTCTCAGTGTCTCTCTCTCAATTACTATATTAATATTAAAAAGAATTCAATTTTAAAAAGAAAAAAAAAAAGGTCTACTTTACCCAGATAAGAATACTATATGTTCAATGGAGAAAGTTTAGGAGTTAATTAAAAACAACTTTAACTAAAACAGTTATCAGAACTTTATTTTTATATGAAAAAAAAAAGAAGCTAATTGTAACTTACACGCTAATTGTAACTTCAAGACACACTAAGCATTTTTTAAATGCTAAAAGGACAGGATCAAAAGTTGGCACAGAAGGCTTAAAAGTTAGTTTGATAAAAAGGTAAGAAAATGTTTCATTAATTAAGCACAATATTTATATCACCATACTAAAGAAAGTCAACTTGCGCAAGGAAGGATTACACAGTAAATCTTATCAAATTTGTGGTTATTGGTGAAGAAGCTACTGTTCGGTGATAATATCGGGTTTGGCGAAAATGGTCTACGGATTTTCACGAAGTACCTAATTTTAAAATTACACATATACGGATTGGGATTTTTAAATCACATTAACGCTGATCTCGCACACACGCACACATTGAAATCACATTAACGGGGGGTTTGATTTTTAAATCATATAAATACAAATCACTATGTGTGATTTATAAATTGAACAAATATAGATCATGACAGTTATTTTTTAAATAACAGGATTATGAATCATGATGTGTGATTTTTAAATCATGTGAATACAAATTACACGGCAGGATTAATGGCTCCAATACTCTAAATCCATATTGCATGAACTGTGAATTTATCACTGAAAATTATAAATTCCACGGCAAATTTTGATCAAAGTCGAAACCTATTTCTATCATTTTCAAGGCATGCGGATACACTGTTCACACTGGCGACAGGCACCATACCACGAAAAGAATAAATACTTTTTTTAGAGTGTTATAATACACATATCAATAATTTATCTTGTAAATTATAAACAAAAACAAAAAAAATTACAATAAATAATAAATATAAAATACTATTCTACCTACAGTTCAATATTTTAATCCGATCACAATATATTTTTGCACTGAACATGCAAAAACTTACCTTTAATACATGGGATAATTGCCCTCTGTTGTATAGCTGAAGGCTTTTCAAAACCATATGCATATATACCACGCAAAAGTTCTTCCCGTAAATTCATATCATCAAAATTGTCAACAACATACTCCCAGTTACTCTGGAATAAAAATTTGATTTTTTTAGCTCTTTATGCTTCTTATTAAAAAAAAATTTTTAATGATCAAATCAATATTAATTTAAGAAGCCAAAATTTTCAAAGCTATTTTGCAATAATCTATATAGTAAACATAGTTATACTAAATTAAATTCATGAATAAAAAAAAAACCAGACAGTTGATTTAGTGTACTTACATTCAACAAATTAAAACAATAGCAAATTTTTTTTTACAAAGCAGCGGGGATTAAGATTAATTTGCTATATCAAATTTATATTGAAACTAATGAAATTGCCTTTTTTTTTGTAAAATAAATACAATTACCAGTAAATCATGATAATGTTATCAATTATGCTACAGAAACTTTACTATGATTTTGATTAAATTATATTACACTTTTAATGTCTTCTAACAAACAAGATATGATAAGGGGATACAGTATTTTCCCCTTTTTTATTTTTAACATTACACAAAGCAAACATCATTTGTAAGTTGAAAATTTCATTCTAAAGAATGATGTTCTAGTCCCAGAATACTACAGTAGTATAAAATATACATTATATAAAAACTTACAAGCTTTTAATTTATGTTTCAAAATTAAAATATATTGAGCTTTGGTGAATTTTTCATTGTGGCTAAATTTGTCAATATTGCCATATAAGCAAAATTAGTGTTTGTTTCTATTAAGTATTTAACGATTAAAATTAATTTACTTTCTATGGAAAATAGAGACCTTTGTAGTACATCAACAAAAACACAACTACAGGAAATCTTATTGCATTTTAATTTTTTTTTTAAATAAATTGCCTCCAAAAATAAAGATGTTTAAATAGTTTAAGAAATAAAATAAAAAAAGAATCATGTTTTTGAAAAATAAGAAACAAACTAATAAATTTTTCTTTGGAAATCCATCAAAAATTTTTTAAGCATGATTGATTGCATAGTAAATTATTTGCTTACGTAACATGAAATTTTGAACTGTCTCAAATATGTTAATTAAAACAATGTACCTCAATGACACCATCTGGTTCCATTCCAGGTGGTCCATCATACTCTCTGTCAGGAGCTCTTCCCAAGGAATGCTCATCATCTGGGCCATTTCTAAAAGACATTTAAAAAATAACAGTATATATCAGCAGTCAAAATAATCTGTTAAATCAAACTAAATATTTGGTCAAATATTTTTATCAGAACTTTATACACAAGAGGATAAAAACTCACTTAAAGTGAATCAAAATTATATCTTTTGTAAACAATTTAATTCCTTATTTAGTTCCCCTAGTTGGGGATATTTTCGTAATGTGACCTGTCAGGCCAACTACAATCGACAAAAAATGTAGATATTTATCCATGGGTGGGCTAAGTGTTATACCCTTCAAACTGGTCTCTTTCTGTGAATTGTTTTATTTTTTTTTTAGTTTCTTGCAGGCCATTTTCAGGAAACTGAAATGGCCTGCAAGAAACGTGACGTGAGAAATGAACGTGACTTGGCGAATATTCTGCCAGATCACGATATGGAAATCCCCCCATTTAGTTTTTACGTATTTCGATTAGCAGGATAATTTTTAGATTTAATCTATTTTGGTCCTTAATTTAAATTTGGAATTAATCAAATAATTGTATTTATTATTGCATAAACCTCTTCTTATAACTTAATAATATTTACAATTTATATCAAGGATGCACAACATATAGTCTGCGAGTCTAAAGAGACCCACAAAGTCTTTTAACATTTGAACTGTTTATTGTTTAAAATATAATATAATATAATAAATTTTGCAAGTTGACAAGATAAATACATAAACAATAGATTAGGTATTTTATAATTCTAGCAACAAACATTCATCACATTAATCAGATATTGTATTAGTAACAAATTTCATTTTCGGAATAATAGTGAAAGTTAACTATTAGGCTAAATGTAAAATTAAACTACCTCTCTCATTTGTATGCCGATAATTTTACCATAATTCGCTTTGTAATCTGACTATAAATGTAAAGAAATATATGTATTTTAATTATCTGTACATGAGAAAAAGATTAATTACACATGGGTAACTCAGCCATATTACTTTCAAAAGAATCTAAATATTACCCTCATATTTATTATGATGATGTCTCCAATTTTTTTATTTTTGTGGCTCATTACTTGAAAATGGTTGTGCCTTTATGATCTATATTTTGAAATTTGTAAGTGCAAACATGATACCACTAAATGGCAAGTGAGCACTTGAACCCCAACAAGAGGCCACTAAATGGCAAGTGAGCACTTGAACCCCAACAAGAAATTTATTGGTGGAGCATAAAGTGTGAGTAGTAGGTAATAGAGCACCAAAAATTTAAACCCATATTAACTAATAATATTTTAACCAGTAGGAAAAATAAAAATTTCTACACAGGACTCATTACTTGACTAAAAATATCCATTCTAATATCAATAAGTAAAAGTGATTAAATCTAAGACACTCAATTAGAGCGTTGTTGCGGAGTCAACCACAGAATCTGCCTACTAACCACTTGCTTAATGGAAATATCATAATAAAAATATTAATCAAGAACGATTTCCATAACAAGCGAAATTTTTGTATAATTTATATTGAAAATCATAAAACCTTTAAAATCAAATAAGTTGAATAACGAAACTAATAAGCGGTAACGAAACCCGTGATTCACTAAAAAAAAATATTCAACTATTGTAAATAAGATAAGAGGTAGATTTATAAAAATGACTGAAAAGTTACAGAAATTTTTTTTTAAAATAAAAAATAAGTATCTTCAGATACATACGATAAGAAATTAAAACAAGAGCTCGCTTTTTCTTCGTGAACAAGAGGGAAATTTTTATTGTCAGACACTTAAATTTTGAAACATCAAACAATTGAATAATAACTAAATACTAAGATATTACTCTTTCATATTTCTGATTGTTTACCTTGACTCTTCGAATGCCACGGACATATTTTAACTTCGGAATCTTGACGCTATATGCGTAGACCGTCAACGAAAACACGTTGCCTCCTTGATATCTTTTAAAAGATTAAAGCAGTAGGTGTAAACCTAACAGCTGTTAAATTTTATAAAACTTTGATGGTAAGGAAATCAATTTAGTAAATGAAAAGAAATTTCACATATAATGTTTACAATTTGAATCAAAAACAAATTATGAAACTTTATATACGACAAAGAAATGATCTGTTTAGCAGAGACGTTCAGCTACCATTCCATTGGCGGATAAGGTAATTTACGCTGCTCGCTTCCACGAACGCCAGATTCTCAGAAAACGTGTTTTTAAATACAAAAATTCTGAAAAAATGTTAATAAATATGTTAAGTAATTAAAGTTTTCAAATTTAAATTTTGAAATACGATATTATTTTTCAATTTTTTATAATTAAATCACTTAGAATTTTTGTTTTTCATAAAAAAAGAAAAAGATTTTTACTTTCGGTTTCATTATCAAATTTCCCAGCATTCGTGATTAAAATTGGCAATGGCAACAAAATTTCTTTTAGACAGAAATGGAATGACAACTCATCAGAATTATTATAAAATAAAAATATTTAGCTTATAGAAATTTTTTTGAGGTTTATTATATTAATGTTTTAGTTATTTAAAAATCAGGTATGTTCAAGCATATAGAAATTTCTATAAATTATTGTGATTCAAACTCGTAGACCTTATTTTCTTTCAATAAATCTGCAACAGGTGCTGATTGTTATTGCTAACTAATATAAAAAATAAGCACTTATTATGTATTAATAATGAGATATTAGCCTCCATATTCCTTTATTTGCTTTTATAATTTCTTCCACCTAAATTTCAACTTAATATGTTCATACGTTTGACTTTAATATTGTATTTTTCCTTTTTTTTTTTCAAAAGGAAAAACAGGACTATAATTTTATACATTTGATTATATTTGTGTGATAATCTTGCAAATTAATGTCATTTGTGATATGAGTGTACATACAATTTTTGGAAATTTTCTCGGGAAATTGTTGGCACTTTTAAGTTATATCATAGCCTCTTTTTTTTCCATTCTTAAACCTTGGTATCTTATAATTTTTTTTATACGTGTTCATGTTTTCAATTTATAATTCATGTTTTCAATATAATAAACTATATGCTTGTATAATTAATCATGAAGAATACTTTATTTTGTTTTTATTGTATTTTTTATTTATGCATTTTGACATATCTTTTCAAACTTTACCAATTTTACAGTTTGCCTCTGTTGAGTTATAATTCCTTTTTTAGTTTATAAATTAATAATTAGAAGGGAAGATTTCCTTATTGGTATCTATGACCAAATAATCGTCAAATTTTAGTGACAAATGTGGAAGGTATTACTCACAGCCACCTCCTGCAAACCACAACATATATATTTTTAAATGTTTGCACTCTAAAAAACTCTTAGGTGCCAAGGCAAAGATAATAGGGGGGGACAAATACCAATGCGAAATATCCCCCTGTCAATGGGGTTCCTGGCAGTATGGTTATAACTTTCGCCAAAAGTTCTACAAATGTCGCTAAACTCATACTCATGAGCGACAAAACTGTCACCTTGGAAGCTACAAAATAGTAATGAAAAGTGGTTTTTAACATTGCCTTGTGGCAGAATTTTTTTGACCTATCTGCGACAAAGCTCTAGTACTAATATCATTTTGCAAGATACTTTTAATAATTATAAACATGTACGTTTCTAGTTTAAAATTTAAAAAAAAAGTGCTGTGTTTACAACAAAGAAAAAAACTACTATAATTTAATTGAATATGTAAAAATTTTTTATTCTTATACTATTGGTGAAATTTACACATTTTGTTGGGGGGAAAACTCACTATTAATTTCCTTCCTTGCAATTCGTAAATAATAATCGCAATATAAAATTAAAATCATGAAATCCGTAGCCGAAATAAAGATTGATGACAACAAATCGACTCCTCAAAAGGGGACTACTTAAACGTGTGTTTCGTTTCGAGATTAGGTTGTTATAAATAATCAGGGTTCTATTTAAAAGAAATTTGGGTCTGTTAACGGACCCTTCACAAAATATCTTTTCATAAAAATGGACCCTTCACAAAAGATTTTAACTTAAAATCGAACCCTTCTAAATGATTTTTCTTTTAATTGGACCCTTCACAAATTTGTTTAACTTCATTATTGTTTTGTTAATCGAATAAACCCTTCCAAGGGCAGAAAACAAGAAAGATGGATGTAAACGAATTAAGTTTTGTCTTCGGCAGACGATTCTTCCATTATTCGTCCGAAATGAATATTCTGCTTTCAGCAGTATAGGCTAAATACTAAATATTTGTATGTTGCATCTCTAATTTAGAAGCAGCTATTGCTGCTTATTTTTGAAAATTTAATTTCTTTATTATAATTTTTCAATGCTGAGCATAATCTTGTATCTATTTACAATTTAAAAACTCATTGAAAAAGTTTTTTGCAACTATTTGTTTTTTCCGAACCCTATTTGCACAAATTCATAAAAGCGGACCCTGGTTGAAAGAATGTGAGTAATTTTTTCACAATTTCACGAAAACCGGACCTTTCACAAAATGTCTGGACAGATCCCTGATAATATTGTATAAAAAATATCGGACTTGAAAACTGTGTAGAAATAAATAGCAATAACTGCCAAAAATTTGATAAAATCATTGCCTTGAAAAGCAAAATTTTTTACTTTTCAAAAAAAATAATCTTTCTTCAAGAACTCTATAACGTTCTGTGCCAATGTGTCTGCGTGGTGTTGCATTGAATGCCTGGTATTTAAGAAAAATTTATTATAATAATTTTATTATTTGCACGTAAGTTAGATTTTAATTTAAAAATTTTTTCACATGGAATAACTGAAAGTGGTGCAAATATTTTTAAATTTCAAATTTACATGTATTTTAATTATACATGTACGTAATACTGGTAGTACCTACCTATATTATCTTTCTAGATATCATTATTTAAGTTATGCAAAGGACAGTGTAGTGTTACAAATAAAGTGTGTTAAAACACCTGCTTCAATGTTCTAAATAAATATCAATTTCAGTAGACACAACATTTGTATTATCCATGCTCGTTTTGTTATTTTTCCTATTACTTATTCTGTAAGAATGATAACTTCTTTATTTATTTGTAAGTATTTAATTATTAACATGCTTAATGTTTGATTCATTGTAGATTCAAAGTATGGCTAGTCCTCGCACAAAACGAGTTTTACAAGACTTAAGAACTAAAGATGGCAACAATGTAAGTTAATAACGTAAAATCAATATGAAATATTTTGCAGATGCACTGCTATCTTATATTTATTATATAAATATTTTGATGTATTAGATATAAAAAGATGATTGTTTTCTACTTCTCTATTTAATAATGCATGATTATTATTGCACTAATTAGTCTACAGTCTAACCTTTTAACTATCTGGCATTGATGTTAACTTATTTTTAATGCTTTTAAATTTAATATGAAAATTAGATCCAAAAATTTTACAACTATTCCAAAGCTCAATATTACAACCCCAGCAAACCAAGTGAAAAAGATCCTTATTACATTAGGATGTCTATATTGTGTGTGTACACAGATAGCTTAAGCATAAACTTATAGCTCGAAAAACTTAAACATTTTTACAAAGTTATGTTATTCAATAAATTTTTAAAATGTCTATTTAATTTGACAAACTAATAATAAACATTACTTATTCAATTTAAATATGCAATATAACTCACTGCTCTTTAATAAAGCCACTAGTAAACAAAAATGGTTGGCATCAAACAAAACTATACTTTATTTAAAAGTTCTAAATTATAAAGGTGGAATCCTTCAGACATTTAAAAATAAAACATTCAAATTCAAACCAATCCTTTACATCCACAGTTCAATGGTAGACTGACTGACTTGTTCATATTGCAGCATAGGGTATTAGCCCTCTGGGAGATTTTTAAATTAAGCTAATTTTTACTGTTACATTTCTTATTAACTGGTTCTATATTTGAATTGAAATTGAATTTCTTAGGGTAAGATTGAAAAAAAAAATTGGAAACTAATGAAAACAACTTGCACAAGCACTTTTGTTTAATAAAAAATACTGTCTATAATCCTTATATTAGCTGTACTATATAATATATAAATTATATGTGAACTCAAAGGAATAAAATTTCCAAAGAAGATTTATATTTTGCACTATTACGGTGAATGAGATAAGTGTTTGCTGTTTCTTTTGTTAAGTTTTATGTAAGGGAAATATGAATGATACATTTATTCTTCCTTTTGAAAATTAAATTTTATAACATTAACATATTACTTTTCAAAAATAATAAATGCACATGAAGTCGATTTTCTGAAACAGTGTAATTTATTATTAACAGAGACTTTCTCGAATTCATAATTTTTTGCTTTTGATATTTTTCCCCCTTTTTTTTTTAATCATTTTCTCTTTTTCATATATATTTCCAATGAAAAAAAAAAAAACTGCACTGTCAAAAAATTTTCTATTATGCACTTTTCAAAATCTGTAAAAAGGAATTAAAATCATCTTTAAACTTATAGATTAAATAAACATTGAAGTCAGGTACAAATCAGGTGTTAATTCAAATTTTATACTTAGCCTATTTTTGTTTTTATGTAATTATTTTTCCTGTAAAAAACAAATTGTCACTATGTAAAAAAAAGTTTAAGTGTTATCCTGCATGGATATTGGTTTACATATATTATCCGTGTGTTCATTAAGGTTTTAGTTCATATTTTTTTTCAAAAAGATAAATATTAAAAATATTTGCAACGTATCAATATATAAATACATTTCAATTTTATTATACCCTTTTGAACATTAAGTCTTAATGTGGAAAAATTAAATATTTTGCAGAATTGTTTTGAATGTGGCTCCCATAATCCTCAATGGGTTAGTGTCACCTACGGTATATGGATCTGTTTGGAGTGTTCAGGAAAACATAGAGGCTTAGGTGTTCATATCAGGTAATTGTACATTCATTTTATTTTATGAAAACTGATATTTTTATATGAGACTTTTATGCATGAATCGTTTTACCAGTAAAAATATTATCCAAAATTTGATAACTTATAATCCTGCCATCAGATTTTACAATAACAAACTTCATAATTCTTTAGTTCGTATAAGCAAAAAGCTGAGAAGAGTAAACCACTGTAGTTTTTTTCAGCATTATTTCTTTATTTCAAAAAAAAATAATAATAATAATAATAATAATTTTTATTTTTCTAATGCCCCTGTGACCTTAAAATTAATCTTTCTGAAACTCATTTTTTAAAAAAATATTTCTTTGCAGCCTTATTTTACAAAGACAGAGCAACAAAGAACTTATTTTACTCAAACGCAAATGAGAAACTGCAAATAAGCAAGAAATTTATAAGAACAGTCATTATAAATTAAAAAATATAAAGAGCTAAGTTACCTATATATCTTTTTTTTATAGGAATTATTAAATATTGTATTTATATTGATAAAATATTAATTATTCTAAAAGTCAAAAATGTCAGGTATTGGAGTGGACTTTTAGAGTTACTATTAGATAATGAAGTGATATTCATTAAAGGGAGTTTAGAAAATGCTTTGTTGCTGGAATAAGTAAAAGATAGCAATAATAATATTATAAATTTAAAAGATACCAATTATAATATAATAAATTTATTTTTAAAAATTTGTATTACTTAAGTTTTTTAAAAAATACTTTTATTAACAAAAACAAGTTCCTCTTTTCTCCTTCTTGTTTTTTTTTTTAACTTGCAGTTAACTATTTATTTTTTAAATTGTATTATATTGAAGTAACATAAATTTTTTTATATAATTAAGTTTGTTAGAAAAATGCAAATTTTAAACTATGAGATAACCTTTCTCAAAGTTTCTACCTTTGATTTCCAATTGAGTTAAAACTCTGTTAAAATGCCTGTGATACGTAAAAAGTTGCTAATAGTTTTATTTAAAATTATTTTTGTGAAACATCAATTCATTTAAATTTTGAAAATTAATATTTACTCTGCATTTTCTAGCATTTGTCTCATGTATATCTTTACCTTTTTATTGTGTTTAGTTTTGTGAGGTCAGTTTCAATGGATAAATGGAAAGACATGGAATTGGAGAAAATGAAAGCTGGAGGAAACAGAAAAGCTAAAGAATTTCTAGAAAGTCAACCAGATTACAATTCAAAATTGCCCTTGAAAGACAAATATAGCACACGAGCTGCAGCTTTATATAGAGATAAGGTAAGCGTAATTTTTATATTCTATATAAAATCAGTAAATGTAACACTATCTTACTTGCAGCATTTTTATTTTTAGTTCTATAACTAGAGCTATTCTAAACATAGAAATTCTTCCAATTATATTGTTATTTCATTTAATTAATCAGTTCAGTTGAATAGCATGTTTTAGAAATTATACATATAATTTTAATTAATTACTAAAATATTAATTTGTTTATAATTATGCAAAGTTTTGTAAAAGTATTAATTTAAAAAGCATAGTGGTAATTAATGCTGTATTATTATATATTATATAGAAAGCAATAATAGGTTAATATTATTTAAAGTTCAAAATTCGGCATTTAACATGAAAGTTGAAAAAGATAATATATTTCTTAATATTCTAAATATTAATTATTCATTGTGATATTGTAATTTCTAAGTATTAAGTAGTTTAATCTTAGCCATCTCACTCTTAAAGATGGTACATTAATGCAAAAACTGTGTCTGGTAACCCGGCATGCTAAGTGTTTTGAGAATTTATCTTTGTAAAATGCTTGTTTCCCCTTCTTTAAATTGAAAAGACTAGTTATAACTATGTTGGTATTTATTATTTTTCAAAATTACTTGTGAAAAATAAAGAAATCCCGCAACAGCTGGGAGACTTATAATTTGGATATTAATTACATGATGGTGGCACTTTTGTTATCAAGCTGCTTTTACTTCTCAAATAAGCTTGTGCTCTTCGTCCTGAAGTAGCTACTTAAGATAGAAACCCAGTTCTACACAAAGATAGCTTAGTGCCGTAATCAGTGTGCTATCACTACTCGAAATTGAGCCGCAATGTCTCAGTTATTTAGGCACTGAGCTGTCATTGTGAAGAACTAGGATTTGATCCCCAGTGCCAGCTTGAAGCCCACCCAGCTTCAGATCGATGGGTATCTATTTGTATCACCTAGTATCGCCTTTACTTCCAAGACAAGTCCATGCCTGGGAAGAAAAGGCGGCCTACTCGCAGTGCTGACCACATTGCTACAATCAAGTCGTTGGTCACAAAATTGTAGAACCTCAGCCTCCATGACCGCCCTTGCCCATGACAGGCTGTTGCAGGAAGGCTTTACTACCCCAAATCACTTACACTTAATTTTATCTTTGTTTTATATACTTTTATCTTTTAATCTATTTTATTTAAATCTTAGATTAACAAAATGATATCAATCACTATTATTACATAAAATACTTAACACAGTACTAAATTAAATGCAATTTAATTTAGTACAGTGACCATACTATTACATTATTGTTTCTTTAGGAAATAATGTAATAACTAAGAATGGTTAAATGCCGGTATTCTAGAAATTGATTTTTTAGTTATGTTTTTCTACAGTTACTCTTTCCGAAATACTTTTATTTAAAAAATTTCTTATTTATGTCACATAGATCAATACTGAAGCCCAAGGAAAAAATTGGTCTGTTGAAACTTCATCTGCTAAAAATCATGCTTCCACAAATATTCCAAAAAGTTCTTCAAGTAGCAGTTTGAAATCTTACAATTATTCAAATAATTATTCAAGCTCCAATTACCAAAATGATGACTGGGATAATTATAATTCTGGATATCAAAAGTAAACTTGTACTGTTTATCAACAGTTCAATTATATTTTAACATGTTTTTTTATTATGAGTTATTTATTAGTATTATTCATTTTTTACAGAAAGTACAGTAGGGAACCGATTATCCGGAACAATCGGGACCATCGCTATTCCAGATAACTGATTTTTCCGGTTTTTTGAATCGCTACTAAAAGCCGTTTTTTTATTGTTAAACCCAACTAAAAAAAAAATTGGAAGTAATCTTAAAAAGAAGAAAAAACGATGAAGTAATACACTAATGATTATTTCCAAAATGATGGTAAGGTAAAAATCTTTCAAAAAAGAACGAAAAATCCTGAAATCTTATATTTAAAAAAAATTTTTTTTTTTTTTAAAAATTGCGGGAAAATTTATCAACTTTCGTTCCAGTTTTCTGATTTCCGGATAACGGGTTCTGTACTGTATATGTTTATCTGTGCTGTAAGTGTTTTTTCTAAACTTGGGATATTCAAAATTGTCGTAATGAGCATAAAAGTATTTCTCTTTTAAATATCTAATTCTAAATTACAATGGAGAAGATTTATTAAATAAAAGGAAAGTACTCTTTCTTTTAACATATTCACTGTGAATGAATAAACAAATGAAATGTATTGTGCATAATTAATTGAAATTTACTGTGAAAAAAAACTACTGACATTTAAAATGTTAGTTTAAAAAGAAATTTTTTTAGACTAATAAGGAAAAAGAAATATTCTTTTCTTATTTTTACCAGGTTGTCAAAGATGCTAGAATTAGCTATTTTAAAAAATTTTATAGATAACAACTTTTATCCCATGAAATAAAGGGAGTGTTACTACACAAAAGTACTCATAATATTTTTTAAAAATGAGAGTGACATACTTCAAATACAGGGTTGCCACAGGTGACTAAAGTGCAACTATATTTGGCATGAGGCGACTAGGGCAACTTTATTTGCCTGAAAAGGCTATAAAAAAAAGCAACTATTTTCAAGAAAAGGAGACTATTGGGAGACTTTTCTGTACTGCTAGCGTTGTTTTTTTTTAGCATAAATTGGGCTCAAAATCTGTGACCCACGATAGCTTTTGAACACGCTGAACTTTTTTTTCTTAAAAAATTCATTTGAGTTATTCATTTTGAGTTGCAAATTTGAGTCTTCACTTTTTCATTCGTTCAATCTGCAGATTATTATATTGTACTACATTTTTCTGTGTTTAAGTTGATTTGTGGTATAAGTGCACCCCTATTTTAGACTTCACTGTTTAGGATTTTGCTTGCTTGTGTTCTGAGTGAAAGCCACCTCTGAATTCTCACTTTTTGAAAAGTAAACTTTTAAACCCATTATGAGGATATTGCAGGCAAAGTGACTGAAACTAACACTGATAAGATATTAATTTAGCCCCCGGTCACAATGTTTTAAATTTTTCTTGTTTTTTAAACTATACAATAATAATGATAACTTTGTTGTGTTATATATATTAGAGCTAACTCTTTGCTATTTAAAAATTGGATTATTAATTGACTAGCTGAATACTCATTCTTCGTTCAGGATGTAAAAAAAGTAATAAATCAGTATTAATCAGCACTAAGAAATCATGCACAAAACTGAGCGAGTTGTACCATCGCAATTAATGAATCCAAAATAATTAGATTTTTTTATTATTATTATTTGTTGCCACACATTCCCAATGAGTTTGTTATTAGATTAAATAAAACACTTTTTAAAAAGTTATTTTCCTCTAAAGAAAGATTAACTGCATTCATTATCAATTAAATTAACCACATTCATTCATTGGCCTGAGGCTATTGCTCAAAACCAACTCTCCCATACAATTGAAAAACTTTGCAAGTGCTTCGCAATACATTTTAAGAAAATTGGCTTGACAATATTTTTCTTTCTTTTACTAATACTATCAAAACTGTGTATTAATACTATCAACAATATGTACTAATACTGTCAACACTAAAGTAGAATTTCAGAAAACTCATAAGAAAAAATAATAAGGTTTTTTTTGTTTTTTGTTTTGTTGCAATATGTAGTTTGTAACAAAAATTGCTGTTTAAATTTATTTTCCATTTTACGGTATTATCTCTTTGATGCAACTTACACCCTTTTAGGGTAAAAAATCATTACTACAATCATTACTACATATTTGGTGCCTATTAAAACATCTATAACAGTATGGTGATTTTTGAGTTTCTTCTATGTAAATAAGTAAATTTTCTTTTGCCTTTTTCTACAGAACCTATTTTTTTTAATTCAGTTACCATCGATTTTAAATTATTTGTTTAAGAAACATGTTTTAAAAGCCAAATTATAATTAAAATTTGGTTTTAGATATTTATTGGGTTGTAGCCTTCAAATATCATCCACCTTGATTTTTGCACTAATGAAAAAAATAATTAACTATTAAAGAGGGTGCAATAAAGTTCATTTTTAATCAAACAGTTCTAAGTAAATGTAAGAAGTAAAAAGTAAGCTAACCAATTTCGCTGGTGCTCATATACAGTTTAATTTATAATGATGCCTAGATGTAAAAAATTTTCAAATGTCACTCCCGAAAAAACTAGATAAAATTGTCCCTTACTGTGGTTGTCCTAGCAATGATAATTCTGGTCCTAGCAATAATAGTTCAGAAAAGATGAACTCTTAATTTTTTTTTTATAGATGTTCTGATAGTGTTAAAAGATTTGCTAAGATTAGATTGTGTTAAAAGTTTTATTTTTATCTTTAGTGTGCAAGAGAAAAGTGTAAATCCTCAAAGAGATGCTTTTTTCAATAAGAGACAAGAAGAAAATTTATCTAGGCCAGAGTAAGTAACCTTCTTATTGAAATAATTAAAGATATTTGTCATTAAGAATTTAATTTTGTATTTCACATCTTATTATTAAATACAAAATAGTAATAATTATGAAGGAAATTGGTTCCTTTAAAACATTTTTATATTTTGATTGCACATATATTGACATAAAGTAATTTTTTTTAAATTTAAAATGGTGATAAATATTAAGTTAAATAATGGGAAAAATTTTTTTTAAATTTTCCTTATAATTAATTTTGTGTAAAAAAAATATTAAATTGTATGCCAATGTTTTTTTCTTAACACAGATAGTAGTTGTGAAAGTTGTTTCTTAATACTTAATCTGACTATTAAAAGTTATTCAAAGCACATACTACTATGGTTTTTCCTCGTCTTATAGGCAATTCCAATGGTGACTAATGGCATTTTGATAAGTTTTCTTATTTTAAACTTTTTTTTATTGATAAATATCTAATCTTTTAATTAAAAAAAAATTATATGTTTTTTAAAAGCCTAATATTATTATGCATATAAGAAAAAGAGGTGAAAATTAAAAATGTAGTATTTTAGAGCTTTTATCATTTTTAAAATGCTAATATTGTTATTACTATGGTTAAAATGGTATGAATAATACAAATTCCATTGGCTTTATTTATTTATTTTTTAAAAATCTTTAATTTTGTTTTCCTTCAAATTTGAGTTATAGTACAGGTGCTTGTATTAATATACAATGTTAAAATTTCTATATTTCTAAAATATAATATTTTTTATTTTTTTCCTTTCATGCAGTAATATTCCACCAAATCAAGGTGGGAGATATACGGGATTTGGATACTCCATGGCGCCTCCTCCTAAGAGCCAGTCTCAAGAATTTGTGGATGGGGCTTTGTCATCTTTATCATCTGTAAGTGTATCAATTATGCATATATGTCTTTAAATATAAACTATTTACACAAATGTTGTCTATATTTTATTCTCATATTAAATATGCTTTTCTTTAATAAAAATTTTTAAGTGTATCTTCGTTATTAATGTCCAAATCAATTTTAAACTACTGAAATTAATGTATACTAGGTATGTATGTATTTTTTTTTCTTTCTTTTCAAACTAGTCAGTCAGCAATTTAGGGCAGCATTTAACTGAACAAGTAATTTTTTTCCTTATTAGGTAATTTATTCCTAAATATTTAAGCAACAGGTTTATTTATTATATTTTAAACTACTAGATAATCGGTAGTAATGAATAAATAAACTTGAAGTTAGAATGCTTAATGTTTATTTAATTTCTGCTAAGTTTTAGAAACTTTTTTATATTTAATTTCAAATAAAAAAAATTAAGCTTACTTTAAAAAATACTTAAACTTAATGTATTATCTAATGCATATTCATTTGAATTTTAAAGAAGTAACTGGTATATTTTCAAAATTAAGGAATTTTTTACTTTAAATATTTATTAGATCTTATGCTAAAATCACAAAACCATTTTATGCAAACATAGCACTTGATATAATCAATGATAAAACTGGGTTTTAAAATCTGTCAAATAACTTGTAGTACATTTGTTTCTATTTATGACTGCATTAGTATTATATCTACACACAATAAAAACAAATATAAGTTTCGTTAAAAAAATAGAAAGAATTTTTGTTGTATATCAAATTTATAAAATATCAAAAAATCAATTTTCTTCATTCAAAGAACTAAGCGTTTAATTAAATATAAAGATAAGCAGCTGAAAAATGAATATTTGATCTAAATTCTTCAAGACTTTTAATTTTAAACTAGGACTTTATGCATGGATTGTTATATTTAAAAAATAATTAATCTTTTTTATTGTATGCAAACTTATTTTATTGTTACATTATATATTTATATGGAGATTTTTAAAATTCACCAGTGTTTGCTTTTTCTCAAATCTATTTTTGATTGCAAATTTTTTTATTGAGAAAATTATATTTTTTGATTTATACCTATAGGGATGGTCTGTGTTTGCATCTGGAGCTTCCAAATTAGCTTTCAAAGCATCTGAAAATGTAAGAGCATATATCCTTTCTCTGAATATCCTAATAATTTTATACAGTATCTCAACTCTGATTGTAAAAAAGCATAATAGTTTTAAATTTTAATTGTATTTTTTCAGTAATATGTAAAAAATTTAAAATAAATCTATTCTACATATCCAGTAACTGTAAGCATAACATTTAATGCAGTATGCATATTATAACATGGCGTTAAAATAACTTCTATTATTATTTTAACCTCATATTATAATATGCATACTGCATTAATAAATAACTTCTATTATTCTTTTTTTTTTTTCATTTCTTATTTTGATAGAATTTTCTAATTCACTATTGCTTACACAGGGTGGCCACCCACCTGGAAAACCTGGAATTATCAGGGAATTTTTTTATACTGGAAAAATCAGGAAAATTTAGATAAAAACCTGGGAAATCAGGGAATTTTAAAGAAAAGCTGGAAATTTTTTCTTTGATAATTTTTTTAATTTCACTAATTTAAATTATTTCATCCATTATACCCACTTTTGTAGACGGAAATGTTTCTCCAAGCAGTTGAAATATCATCAACTTAGCGATACTTAGCTTGCATTAAAATTTGCTCCATTACAGATCTGTTAAACTAGAATGCCACATTAAATTCTCCCACGTTTGTTAAACGAATGTCCTGTGGCCTCTATGTCCTGTGACCTACCTTTGACCACTATGGGACTGTGCAATTTAGGAAAGATTGTGGTGGAGGTGGAAGAAGGGGTTAGGTTATTAGCTTCTGTTTTTAAATTATGTCCTCGTGCTGAATCCATTTATGGCTCAATTTTATTCTGATGCTTTCATGGTAATTTTTTTCCATTTTGACAAAATGTTTTTGTATTTTTAACTCCAAAAATTAGTTGGTTATAATTTAATAATAATAGATTTTATATTGCACTCTTTTTTCTGAAAGCTTTTGTATTCCCATTCAAAGAATACAAAAACTTGTGAATTATTTTTTCTCAGTAAATCATCCAATCACACTTTTTTTTACAATCGCTAACAGCAATGTTTGTCGACAAATTGTTGCATTAATGCTATCTATTTCATTTTAACCTTTTATAACATATTTTAATTTTAAAAAAAAAGTTTTTTTAAGAACTAACTATATGTTAATATTTAATTTTACTCTTTTGTTGGTCAATATATGATTTTTGATTCAAAATTTTGTACCAAAACATTAAAAAATAAATAAAAAATCTTGCCCAATTGTCAAAATAAATTATTTTTTTCAAGATGATATGTTAAAAAAGTAACATTTTGAATAAAATATTTTATAATATAGACACTTTTGTTGTACACATACACTTTATAAGAAAAAAGAAACAAAAACCTGGAAATTTTAATAATGTTTTAAGTTTTCAAGATGCAACCAATAATTTTTAAAAAAATTTAGAAAATAATGGTTTTTCTTTTAATTTTTGTAACATTGATTTTAATATTAAGAATATAATTAAGAATTATTAGGCTTTTTTTCATTTTTTTTTCATTGACTAATATTCCAATTATGTTCAATTCTTCTGTGTGACATTTTTCATGACGTCACTACCTTCTTTCCTGCTGTCGCGCACTTTTGGGGGAGTTGTTTTCATTTTTCAGTCTATTGAATTTATGTTTTGCAGTCGTTTATGAATTATTCAGTAATTTGGATTGTTGTTATTGAAAGTAGTTTTCTTTCTTACTTTCCTTCTGTAATTGTCTTGTTTTATTCCAATGAATGTATAAGCTTTCGTATTTGACAAGTAAGTTTTCTTTCTTACTTTCTTTCTATATTTGTCTATATTTTCTTTATTCTACTGTTTTATACTTCTGTAATTTAAACTGCATTTTATTACATATTTTACTATTTATTTTTGTATTCTTATTCTGGACTGGGGCAAGACTTTTGGGGTACAGAGAAAGCATTTTTGACATTTGTCTTAGCTTTCTCGTTAGAAAAAGTTTTGCATTTTTATGACAATTCAGGACTGGTACCCCCTTGATTGTCATATTTTTTCAATTTTTACTAATTTTTCTTCGTCTCATTTGTTTTGGAAATTTTAAGATTTTTATCTGGAAAAATCAGGGAAATTTGAAATCTGATTTGAGTGGTCACCCTGTTACAGTTAAATTAGAAGGTTATAATTTAACAGTAATTTCATCATGAGTTATCTTAAAATGACAAATCCTACTAAAATTAGTCATTTTATTGTCGTTTTTGATAATTTACCTTTTTTAGTTAAAATTTGTCATGATTATGAACAGGCTACTACACTTGTTATTTATGGTTTAAATATCTAGAAATGTTTAATATCTTTATAAAAATTAACATGGGGTCTGAAACTTTTTTTAAATAATTAATTTTCAGGCTGTTAAATTTGGTAGTATAGCTTCTCAGAAAGTAGTGGAGTTGTCTGAATCTGTAAATGAAAAGGTATATTTCTACAATGTTTTTATTATTATTATTTTTTAATATTGTTCTTCTATTTAAAAAAAAAAAAAAGAGCTTAAGTCCTAGTGAATTGTTATACATTTTCTCTATTTGTTATTTAATTATACATACACATTTTCTCTATTTGTTATTTAATTATACATACACATTTTCTCTATTTATTATTTAATTTAATGAAAATATTAAGAGAAGTTATTTTTATTTTAAATTGTTGTTTGTTTGTTTTTTAATTACTGAAATAATTTTATCCTTATTATTCATTTTAAAAAAGTGGCATGTATAAACCACATAAATTTGTTGAAGGATTTTTTTTCTTAATTTTGCTCAAAAATATTTAGGTTTTTATTTTTATGTATGCTTGGTTTAATATTTTATTTTATATTTTACTTTATTATTTTTGTATGTTTTTATTCATTTGAATGTTCTGTTAGGTTAAAGAAGGTACTTTAGTTGATGATCTCTCATCCCAAGTCACAAATATAGGTAGTAAGGTAAGAATGATTAGGATAAATTTCTAATAGCATCTAAGCATTAACATATAATACTTTCTGTGTCAGTACAAAAAGTGTTGGCTTTCATTTTCTACTATTTATGGTTCAATTGATTTAGTTTATTTCTTGAAAATATTCTTGAGGCTTTGCAAAATGAATTAAAACTGAAAAATGATCCCCCACCCCAGTAAAAGACGTGTTTGAAAAAAATATCATCCACAGAATTTTGGTCATAAATGTGTATAAGCAGCAGAAAAAGCTTTCCAGCATTGTTCCCAGTTGTAATAACTTATTTTTATAAGTCAGGTTTCTCAATTACGATGCAAATGAAATGAAGTCAAAAAATTAAATTTGAAGTTTAAAGTGGCTTGCATTTTGCTAATGCAAACATTACTTTGTATATCCAAGAATTATTTAAAGAAATACTTTCATATAGCATTTTTTGTTTGAAATTTATCAAATTATGTATTTAAAGACATAGTTTTAATTTAAATTTTGTTAAAAAAATATATAAATCTTTTTAAATTAAACATACGTTTATAATTTAGTACCTATTAAGTATTATAATTTCGCATAAACAAGTGTATTGTAGCATGTTATATTTAATTTAATAATGTTAAAAAAAATTCTATTCTAATTTTCTTTTCGATATAAAAAAATTTTCCTAGTAAAGCTGTACTAAAAGTTTTTGATTTGAAAATTTTTTTAATTTTTACGAAATTCTGTCCTAATTAATTGAAGTAAAATATCAATTTCTAAACTTGTTATGCCTAGGAATTTTAACTTAAGCTAATTTTAACTGTTCCACTTTTATCTTTTATAAAAGTGGAATTATTAAAATTGAAATTGTATTCAGTATTTTATATTTAAAATTATTTTAAATTTTTGAGCTAACTATGTATATATATTTTTATAAACTAAAAATAATTATTTTTCTTTATTTTTACATCATTTATTTCTTTAGCATAGCAATAAAGTTAATCTGTAAACTCTAAAATATTTTAGAATCTACTATTATATTAAATGAAAACAAATTTCATTAAAATGATAATAGTCTTTTCCTTACTCTATATAAATAATATTTCAGGAAAAAATTTAGTAACAAGTATTACAATGAGTTAAATTAATAAATTATTTTCTTGAAATTTTAACAGTAACTTTTGTTAGGTTAACACAGAGGATTAATGTACAATTTTAAATTAATAAAAAACTAAATTCGAAAAAAAAAATTCTCTATCTATGCACACAGAATCTTCTAAAAAGAAGAAAAAAAGTCACATTAAAAGCTAGTTTTTTAAAGCCAAACTTTCTCCATATTTATTTTATATATAATCATTACTAGATGGCAGCACCAATAACAAAATCGGTAATTTTGTTTACTTATTGTTGATTGTAATTAAAGATTTTGGTCTGCTTATATATTATCAAGCCCAAAGTGGTGCTTCTTTCTTTATTCCTCTTTGGTTGTGAGAATAGCATTTGTGATGGTACTGTTAAAACAAGTCTTAAACATATGAACAAAGGAAAGATGCGGAAATGATGGATTGAGATTCGACTGTATAAACATAATGTATGAAAATACATAAAATAATATTAAGAAATATATAAAAAAGTTTAGTAATCAATTGCTAAAGCCCTTAAGTGCTCATAATATTCTAATAATAATTAAAAAAATTTTAAAAAAAAGAAGTGTCAAAGGTATTCACACAATTACAAATCTTAAATTAGTATTTATTTTTTTTAATAATTCCTCTCAATTTATTTTAGGTGGCTGATGTTGGAAAGAAAGGTTGGACAGATATTTCTACTATTTTTTCGCAAAAAGTAACTTTGGAAAAAGCTGAAGGGGCCCCAAATGAAAAGTCATCACTTTTAGGTCTGGGAAATGCCAATAATTTAAGGTCAGATATTATTTGCCTAATGTCACAAAGTAGTAAAGTTTATTTTATAAATTTGTTATATGGAATTCAAGATCTTGATCAGATTGTTACGTTGATTACGAAAGTACAGCAAAACATTAGCACTATTTATTAAGAATGAAGCATGTTGGTGTTTTTTATATTGGGTTGCTCATAACTTAAGTTATAGATTAACATATATTTAAATAAAATATTTCAAAAAAGTAAGTTTATTAATATTGATTTATCTGGGTTTCAATTTTACGTTAGAATAATATGTATAAATTTTTATAGATTTCCTAATGAATTATATTTTTTAAACCATTTTACATTTGTTTTATGTCAGTATTTGTCGTCATCTGCAGAAAATTGGTCATCTAATGATTGTTCTTTATAGTTAGTTTTTTTTTATAACAGTTGGACATTATATTAATGTGGTTTGTTAAAAAAATAGTTGCATTACCGATTGAGTAAAAGAATTTCATTTATTTAGTTCATCTCAAGGTAATGTGATAAAAGTTCACCCATTTAAATTTGTATATATATATATAATATGTACTGCCTCCAAAAAAGGTGTTAGACATTTTTGCACTTTCAAAACTAACATTTTTTTACTGATAAGAAGTCAATGAATAAAAATAGGTTTTGAGTAAACTATTCAAACCACTATTTCCTATAATGTTACCGCACAATAAACATGAAGCATCTAGAATTCTCTATGAATAAAGACCACCTATTTTTAACCTTCTTAGGAGGTCTTGGGATCATTATTAAGAATTTGGAGTGTATATTGAACCTGTCTAATCATAACCTCTCAAAATTTCTTTTCCAAGAGTTCTATATATTTATTGTTCATATTTTTCTTGTTTGAAATATGTATTTACTCTTTTTGGGAAGTGTTGTAAGAGGTAACTTATTTTAGTGTTAAAACATGTGGTATTACACTATTCACATTCTTCTTGATTTTAGTTTTGCTCAATTTTCTGGATGTATGATATCTAACAAAAATGGCAGCTTATGTATTTCAAGTGTAACGCTTTTTGCTTAAAAGGGAAATCAAAAAATTTTAAGGAAGTGAGTAAAAAAATAACATTAAAAGGACAAGTAGCTAAATTATTAAAGATCTCGAAAAGTATTTTGTTTACAATAATTAAAAATCATGATGTAATTCTAAATGCTGAAGAACTGAGTGTTCCAATTTCATGAATCAAAATTTAGAAGAAGCATTGAATGACTGGGTTAAGTTTGTGTGCAATATTAAAATATGTCATTTGAAAAAATTTTAATGTATTTTTGACTTTATGAACTACATTAAATAATACTTATTGACATAAAAAACTGTGTACTTAACAATTTCATTAGTCTATTTAAAGTGTAACATGTTTTTGCTAAAATAAATCCAGTATTAATGAAATGGAAGTAAATATTTGCACTAGTTTTATGTATTCACGATATAGGGACCTAATGTCTTAATGTCCATAGACCACAGGGATCGTTATGTCGACTGTGTTTTCGTGCTATGTCTCGCAATGCCAGTTATTTTACTGGATATTCTAAATAAGAAAAAATTTGCATAAGTAAAACACTTATATTGTTGTTCTCTCAAAAAGTAGCATTTTTTCTCTGTTAAATATTGATTGCTGTAAGGAGTCGTGATTGCTGTAGATGTAAGGAATGTATGCATATAAAGCTTATAAATTTTTTTCAATGTTATTTTGAAATTTTTTCAGAATTCACTTATTTTTTATCAAATTAAATCCAGTGCTTCTGATCTGTACTTATACTTTATATAGCTCTCCTACTCAAGGAGCAACATCAAATAATGATTGGCAAACAGAGGATTGGAAATGGTCTGAGGATCAAGTGCACTCAACAAATCACTCCTCGAGATTAAGTGGAGCCCGTTCTCCAAAATCCCCAAAACATTCCTCTAGAAATAGCCCATCATCCCCAGAAAATAGAAAAATTGTCGAAGGGGACAATCTGCTTATTGATTTTGGCAACAATGTTGAAGGCAAGCTACCAGAACAAAATAGTAAGAAGTATGAATGGGACAATAATTGGGAAGATTCGAATTGGGAGGATCTTGATAAAAAATCAACAAGCAGAGGAGGTTACCAAAGGATAGGATCAAAAAAAGATTGAAATATTTTAATTACGCTGTAGAAATCCCATTTTAACTGTAATGGCTATTCTATGTAACACACTATTGTGTGATAGTTCATCCAGGTTATTGGGAAATAAAAATTTTAAATTGGTGTTTTTACCTATTTATTTTTATGTAAAATTTTTATATTAATTAAACAGCTTTATTTTTAACACAAATACGTTTTTTGTAGCCATATGCAATTTTGCAGAGTTTATTTTTTTATCTTTTAGCTTATTTTTCGGTATTCTGCATTTAGTAATTTCTTTTTTCTTTAAAAATGCTCATTTTTGTTTTATTCAATTTCAGTATTAAAGAACTGATTATGATATTTATATAAAAGTTTAGATGCATGCATAATAATATTACATATCAGGACATGTGATTTTTTTTTTTACCCCCTAGTTTTTAATCATTTGTTATTGTAAAAATAATTTTTTAAAAAGTAAGTTCATTCATGTCTGTACTCATAAACATGTGTTTGATTGTGGATAAATAAAAGTTTCCTATTTATAAGTATGGATGTACGATGTTAGAAACTTGTTTGTGGGTAGCATATTTCTGTATTAATGTGTAAATGACTAAACTATGTAACACACGATTTGAAAAGCTGTCTTATTTTTTCATAAAATTAATAAGTAACTTCTATAACTAATAAATAACTTTATTGTTATGATTATTTTTTTAATTTTAAGTTATGAAAAACATGTATATTTTATTTTCTAAATTAAATTTTTCTAGTTTTGTGTTAAACTTTGAGTAATGACTCACCCTGTCTGTTTTCCTTTTGAATATGTGTGAAGTTTAATAGTATAAAAGGTAATATAACTTTTTACATTTTGGTGAGTTTAAAGTGTAAATATGTACTGTTAAAAATGAATCAGATATTTTACAATTTGAATTATCAATGCTGATATTATATCTAAAAGTGCCTGTGAAAATTATTTTAATGTTAATAGCGAAAGTTAATAGTTAAACAAAATAGTTTGTTAATAGATGTAATTATTTTGGCATGTTTGTTGCAGAAAATTATTTTTTGTCCTAGCATTGTTCTAAATAATAATATAATTTCTTTCCCATTTTCAAATGAATTTTGAGTTTAAGTACTATTATACATTTTAAACGAAATTTTAGACCAAATAAGTGCATCCAGATGTTTATATTTCTTTCTATTTTGAATATAAACAAGTTTACATGCTTACACACATAAAGTTAAGTTCATATAAATATTGAAAGATCAAATAAGCTGTTTAGTTTAAAACTAGTTTTTTAATTCATATTTTGGAAAAATTTTCAGTTTCTGGTTTAATAGTTTAGTTTAAGTTCATTTCAAATTCATATTTTAACTGATATTGTAAAAAATATTAGTAAAAGTTAGTCCCTATTTTATTTAAAATCAATTAACCTTTCAGGTTAAGTTGTATATATTTGAGATTTATAACTGACAGTGTTCACAATCTTGTTAATAAAATTTGTAAATTGTTAATGTTTAAAAGAAACTTTAAGTAAAGTTTTCCATTATTTGAAATTGTAAGGTAGCATCATTGTAGCATTTTATTTTCATAAATTATCAGTAAGTTATGTAATTCCACTGTGTTATTATAAAAAAAGAACTCTTCTGTGCCATTTCTTGTTCTGCTTGTATTCTTGATTGTCCCCTAAATAATTTTTAAAACATGCATTTATATCTGTTATTTAAAATGGTTTATTAATTTGTGTGTATATTTTTGAATTTGTGGAGAAAAAAAAGTTTTATTGCTGTTTTACATAATAAATTGAATGCTCTGTATTTTTCAAAAAAAATTCTGTAAAAATATTAATATTTAATCGATTTTTAGATGCCTCAATCTTCAGTTTTTGTTGTACTAATGATAATGTTCAAGATAATTTCTAATTAAGATTTGAATTAAAATGATTTTTTTTCTTCTGTTGAAGAAAGATCAGGTTTTTATTGTTTCTTATTCATGAATAAGAAGCTTGTGTTTAACTGGTAATTTTAAAATATGTAGTTAGTTCGAAACATGAGAGCCAAATTATTATTTGCTTTCTGTTGAAATTAGATTTAAGAAAATAATAAACAATATATATTTGTTTTGCAACTTTTTGTGGCTTTTATTCTTTATTGCAGAAAAAGTTGTGAAGAACACCATATTTTGAATGTGGGAAAAGTTAAAAACGTATAGGAGGTAAGAATAAATACATACTTCCATTCATTTTAGTTAGCTATATTATGCTAAGCACTAATATCAGATTTACTTTTTCAAACTAACTGACTGATTATTAAAAATTTTGTAAAGCATTTGTCTTACATTAACTATAACTTTGACCTTATTTTCTATCCCTAATGCATTAGTAAAGAAAATCACTGATGCAATGGTGCATATATATTCTATTAATTATAATGTTTATTTTTGCTACAAAGATTAAATAATTTAATTTATTCAGCCTTTTTTACATTAACTGGCACTACACATTGCTTCTATGATTTAATTAAATAACTATTTAACCATAATGATTATGTGTACAAGGGCTTGAAGTAATGACCAAATCTGTAAATGCAACCAAACTGCTTCCAAAATCTTGAGTTCTTGTGTCTGCTTCAAAGTAGAACTAAAAAAATATAATAATGCCTTAAATTTGGTGATCAAATAAAAATATTACATGAAACTAAATTCAACAAAATGACTTTTCATTTGAGGTTTTGAGATTAATTTTTTTTATGAAAATTAATTAGGCATATATTGGCTTTGCTTTATGTTTGTTTGTTTGTATTTTAAGTAAATTTATAATTATAGAGTTATTTACTGAAAAGTTAATTAGTCAGGAAGGAATCATTTTAAAATTACTGTAGCAAGATTTAAAGTAAGTGAAAGAGTTTTAAAAAAAATTAATACTTGTATTGAAAAATTAAGTTGAATAATAGAAAAGAATTGATTTACAACAGAAACAGAACTTTAAAAGAAAGCCATTAAACCCTTTTTTTTTTATTAAACTTGTTTTTAATGGTGAACCCTAAAAATAATTCTTATATAGCATTATTTATTTTTAAGCATCTTCAAAAAACTATTCCATAGTATTTATTTTAAACCCGGATTATATGTTCCCTACTTACTACTTGTATTGAAAAATTAAGTTGAATAACAGAAAAGAATTGATTTACAACAGAAACTGAACTTTAAAAGAAAGTCATTAAACCCTTTTTTTTATTAAACTTGTTTTTAGTGGTGAACCCTAAAAATAATTCTTATATAGCATTTATTTTTAAGCATCTTCAAAAAACTATTCCATAGTATTTATTTTAAACCCGGATTATATGTTCCCTACTTACTACTTGTATTGAAAAATTAAGTTGAATAACAGAAAAGAATTGATTTACAACAGAAACTGAACTTTAAAAGAAAGTCATTAAACCCTTTTTTTTATTAAACTTGTTTTTAGTGGTGAACCCTAAAAATAATTCTTATATAGCATTTATTTTTAAGCATCTTCAAAAAACTATTCCATAGTATTTATTTTAAACCCGGATTATATGTTCCCTACTTACTACTTGTATTGAAAAATTAAGTTGAATAATAGAAAAGAATTGATTTACAACAGAAACTGAACTTTAAAAGAAAGCCATTAAACCCTTTTTTTTATTAAACTTGTTTTTAGTGGTGAACCCTAAAAATAATTCTTATATAGCATTATTTATTTTTAAGCATCTTCAAAAAACTACTCCATAGTATTTATTTTAAACCCGGATCACTGTAGAATGTTCCCTACTTAATCACAACACTTATGATATTACTTGTTCAAACAGTATCAAAACAGAAAATATGCGTATTTTAATGGACAAAAACTGATTTATTTAGCTATATTATATAGGGCGATTTACAACAGTGGTTGCAAACTTAGATGGAAGTAGGCCCATTATAACGTTTGAGAATTGCATAGCTACATGGCCGAAAATGTCATTACCCTGAAGGTGCTTCTCTATTATGAACTAGCTGTATATGTGTATTCAGAGATGATTGTGCTCCGGAAAAAATCCAGATTCCTAATTCTTTGCTAACCCCGATCGGGAAGTTTCCGGAAATCCAAGGTCCAGAAATTTCAAAAAATCATCGTACACTTTATGTATTAAAATTCTTGTATATTTTACTTAAAAATATTAGAACTAGAATTTATACTTGGCATCTCTTTTATTTGGAAATGTTTTTTTTCTGGAAGAATAATAAATATGATTAGAGATAAAAGTAAACTTATACATAATTATTCATTTAAATTATGCTGCATTTGATTTTTGAATTTCATGTTTTGAAAATATCAATGAATTAAATTTATAAGCACGTTAATTTTTTGAAATGCGTCATTAATGATTTTACTCAAGACAATTTTCAGGATTTTCGAGTTGGACTCACAATCACCCCTGCTGTATTTAAACCAGTGCTTTTATTTATCTAAATTATCTTACTTTTATATTTTTTAATAATTTTTTTCGTCAAAAATTGCAGTTAAATTGACCCGATAATAGCCGTTTTATCATAATTTACTGATATGACGGCCAAATTGGTAAGCTCTGCGTGTTAATCACCAAATCAATAAGCTACGACAATACATCAAAATCTGACCCTTTTTTTTAAAAACTATTTTCAGCAATTACCCTCACTGAAAACATTCGTGGGCGTTTAAGCTTTATGGGGATTCCAAGACATGCAGAAAATGAAAGTTATTTGGGTAGAATTCAACATAAATCGAAGTGATTTTCGAAAAATGACACAAAATTCACGTGGTCGAAAACAATAGTAATTTTAAATATTATGTAATTTAGTTATCCTAAAAATAATTTTTTTCTCTTGACTTAGAAATTCTGATTTGTATGAAGCTCTTAAATTTATAATTACTTAATATTTAAAAAATAATCCTGTCAATAACATGTAGTTCCACGTATGTGTACCCAGGGACCGATCAAGACAAATTCAGGCCCAAGGCCTACCAAATTTTCCGGGCCCCTTACAAGATATTTTGTAATTAAATTACTGAAGAGTAGTCCTAACAATAAAAAAGAATCTATTGACTGTATGATTCAAGAGAAACAGACAACTGAGAAATTTTGAAAGCAGACAACTGAAAATTATTTTTCTTAGATAAATTAAAGCAAAATATAAAACAACAAAATAATGTTATATTAAAATAAAAATAGTTTGGTGGCCACAAACAATTGAAATCAGTGATTTTTGCTACAAGTCACTGATTTTTATTTAATACTTAAACCAACACAAAGCTAGCCCACCTTTCATTAAACCTTTTACTATTTTTTTTGAGGCCCCTCAGAAATTGTGGGCCAACGTTGCTCCCACCGATAGTACAGAGAAGGAAAGAACATCCATGCCTTGCCCGGGATTCGAACCCAGAACCTTTCTGATGCAAGGGCAGTTTTCTAACCCCTACACAGGCCGGTCGGCTGTAACTTATATTAAAAGCAGTATTGCTGTGTACTTAGAAAAAATTTCGTTTTTTTTAATTACATTTAAATCTATTTATTATTGTATTTAAATAGACCATAATGTTACAACATATACGCTTGTTCCTACTTTTGTTACAGTTTAACATTTGAAATATTTATTATCTTTTACTTGTTAAGAGCTAAGGTCCATGTATGTGTACCTAAAATTATTAGCCCACTGACAGTATGATTTATATTTTCTTATTGTTATATAAAAATAGAAATTTGAAACTGTAAAAAATATATTTATACGCATTTTTTTTCCCCTGCTAAATTCTTTTATACTTCAGTAGTGAAAAGGCTAAATCGAAGCATGGATGCAAGCGCACCAACAGCCTGTCCATAATAGAGAAGCATGCCTAGCGGCTTACGAGGACTTCTCCAAATTTACTCTGCAATTCTCAATCCTTGTTATGTGTCCAACCTATCTAAATTTGTAACCACTGTATCTTATCATTTTTCACATTCGTTAATTCACTTTATTTATACTCAGTTCTCCGATACTTAATTCAATAGCTCCTTAATCTTCTGGGTTAAGCTCAAAACTGTAAGGAGAAACACGGTATTCAAATTTACTGATTATCAATTGACAATACGTACCTTAACTTAAAATAATACAAAACTTAATACGTACTAAATCGTTTGAGAGTACGTTAAAATATTTACCATTACTTGATCTCCTAAAAATTCCACATCGATTTCTGCCACTTCCCATTTGTCTTCAGTTCTGCGTGCAGTAGCAAATAAATATTGTGTGACAGCGCCTTGTTTTATGACAGCAATGGATGCCGGAGTTCTGCCTTCTATGAAGTATTTGAATTTTATGCAACCTTGTGTTATTCCCGTTGTTGTGATAAAAGGTGTTTGAAATCTCGCAAAATTATTCTTAGCCTCATTCCCTCTTACAACCATAGCATAACCTGAAAGAAGAAGAAAATTGTTTTCATAATAATTATTCACATTTCATGTTGCAGTCAGTGTAACATTATTTCACCGAGACTCAATTTAAGTGAATAATACTAATTATTCATATTTCAGTCAACTTAAAATTATTTCAACTAGACTTAGTTTAGTTTGCTCTCTCAGATGCATTCCTGATTCGACATAAATTATTTAAAATCTCGAGAAAAAATAAATATGTAAAAAATTTTGTGAAGAAAATGTCGAGTTTAACACCTGATAACCTGTGCTGTATCATAAAATAGCTTTTAGTGATTGCCCTGTTACGGTTGGGTATAGAATAA